GGAAGACAGTTGGGCAGATTCTTACAAAACGAACGATGCCCCCGCCACACGGCCCAGCAGCCCTGCTCCCTGGCATTTACCAAAAGGAGTTAAACACCCTGTCCAGGCAGGAACCTGCACAGACGTTCATGCAGCTTCATTGAGAAGCGCCAGGACTCGGGAGCGACCGGCATGCCCTTCAGCCGGTGAGCGGTGAGCGGATGCAGAAGCCGGGTCCATCCAGACAGCCGGGTGTTACTGAACGCTAAAAAGAAAGAGGCGATCGCGCCAGGAAAAGCCACAGAGGAAACGCCAAACGATGACCCACCCGAAAAGCCTGCATGTGGGTGGTCCCAGCCGCCGACACCAGCGGGGGGGTAGCGGGGGGGACGGGCAGCAGGAAGGCCGTGGCTGGGGGGCTACGGGGTGGGGGGGAGAGGCAAGTGCAGGGGACATTAGGGCAGTGAGACTGCTCTGCTGGTTGCTATAACGATGGGCACACGTCATCACACACTGCACCACCCACAGGATGCGCGCCACCCGCGTGAGCCCTCCGGGCACCCAGGGACTGGGGGTGACGGCGACGCGTCCCATCCTGGTGAGTGAAGCGACAATGGAGGAGGCTGTGTGGGGCCGGGGAGAACTCTCCGGACCTTCCTCTCGATGGTGCTGTGAACCGTAAACCGTCCTAAAAAGAAAGTCTTTACAAAAAGAAGACGAAAGTGCCCGGCGGGCGTGGCTTAGTCAGTGGTTGCGCGTCGACCTCTGAGCCAGGAGGTCACGGTTCCATTCCCGGTCAGGGCACAGGCCAGGGTGCGGGCTCCACCCCCAGAGGGGGGCGTGCGGGAGGCAGCCGGTCCACGGTTCTCTCTCATCACTGATGTTTCTCCCTCTCCCTCTCCCTTCGTCTCTGAAATCAATAAAAACATATTTTTTAAAAAGACGAGCACTATCACCACTGCAGCCAGACTGCCGGTTTGTACCCGCGGGGGTGGGGGACGCCAAGCAGAGGGGCCTGGAGAGCCGGCCTGCGACTGGCACGTGACCAACGCGCCCGGGTGGGCCCCGCGGCCCGCAGCCTCCGCACCTGCCGGGAAAGCGCAGACTGAGTTCCCAAACTGTCGGCCCTAACTTCTCTCGCCAAGAAAAACAAAACCACCGGCAGCGGCTGCCAGCCATTCTCTCCGCTGTTCCCCGCGGCTCCTGGGTCCCCCGCCGTGCTGGCTGCGACCGGAGAGCAGCCTGGGCCGTGCAGACGGGCAGCGGGGCCCCTCCGGCTCCTCCTCACAGCTGCCCTGGGCGCAGCCTCCCACACTGGCCTCCCCGGAGGGCGACCCTACCCGGAGTCCGTCCGGCGCAGCAGCAGCAGCAGCAAGTCTGTGACGACTCCCCGCTGCCTTAGCCCTTCCAGCCCTGCAGGTGTCTTACGTAACCGTCGCCCGTCACCAGGGAGACCAGCTCCGTGGGCACGCTTCCCCGCATGACCCGGCTGGTCTGGACCACAGGCCTTGCCCTTCGCCCAGCCAACGGCTCCCAACCCCCCTCCCCACAGACTCTGCCCAGGCCGAGGGCTGCAAGGCCAGGCCCAGGGCTCCAGGGGCCCGGCCCCTGGCATTTCCAGACCCGCCTGCTGCCTATGGTCTCTGTGCCCTTTAAGAAGCTGGGTGTCCAGGGAGGTGCGGTCCGTCCCCTGGGGCCCAGCCCAGCCTGGCGCCCCTTCGCATGAATGGCTCTAGACCCGGCCTGTCCCTCACTCCTCTAGCCAACCTTGCCCTTTGACCCACACTGCGTGATGTCCAGGGATTGGGCCCAAACCCTGCCTGTCGCCGGGGAGGAGGGTCCAGGTGGGCCAGGTGCCCCCTCCCCGGGGAGCAGGGCCGGCCAGCGGTGGCCGTGGAGACCACTGCCGGGCCCTGGCTGCCACTCCCGGTCTTCTCCTGGCCATGCTGTCGGGGACCCGGGCACAGGCCCTGTGGGGTGTGGGCTCCCCAGCTGTCACCCACATGCAGCCTTGCTCGGCACCCCCCGGGGGGACAGGGGCTGCTCCCCTCAGAAGACCACGTAGCGGTGAGAGAGGGATGTCAAGGCCAAGCCCCTGATGCTCCCAGGTTCTGGCTGTGTGACCTGGGCAAGGCACGTGGCTCCAGGTCTCGTGTAAAGGGGGCCCCAGAGAACCCGTCTGGAAGGGGTGCGATCACCAGATGAGATGATTCACAGAAGAGGCTTCAGTCCGGGGTGGGGGGGGCGGGACTGGGGTGTGATGGGCCTCGGGGCCTGGACCACAGACCCCAGCAGCCGCCCCGCCCTTCCCGAGAGTCGGGGCTCCTGGCGCTGAGCATCCTGGCAGCAAAGTTGGCAAAGCAATCGCCGAGAAAGCCCCACCGAGCACCTCGCCCGACAAGGTCCCGGCGGAAGGAGGGCTCTGCCCCTTGGGCGGCCGCACCGGAACCGTCAGGACTCTCTGACCTGGAAACACCTCCCAGCTCCAGGGAGTAAATGACACCAGGACCCACCTCTCACTGACAGGCAAGGCGGCCTCGGGGCTGGGCGGACGAGTGGCCGGGTCCCTCTGGGTCCGGCCTCGCTGGGTCCCCGCGGTCCCGGGGAGGGACCAGGCTGAGCCCCGCAGCCTGGGCACCCGCTCCCGTCGTCATGGTGAGACAGCGGGAGTTGTTTTAAAGCCACCGCCCCACGGCGGCCCCTGGGCCATCGCGGCCTCGCTTCGGAGCCGCGCAAATATTAAAGCCTCGTTACCCGCCTGCCACTCCGCCGGAGGAGGGCATCCCACAGCAACGGGATCGAGAGAATTGAGCAAATTAATCAATTAAAATCATCATTCGCAGGAGGAGTCCCCTCTCACCGAGACAAGGCAGGGGGCCTCTGCCTACCCCGAGGGAAAAGGCTCCGTAACCTTCGCCTCGGCACTAGGTGCGTAGCAGGGACCTCAGTTCCCGGGATTCAGCAGAAACCAGGAGAGACAAGAGGGCCCCACCAGCCGAGCGTCCCCTCCCCCGCGTGCGTGGGTGAATGTCCTCTGCCTCTGTCCCCTCTAGGACGTCCTGCGCCCCCGGGTCAGGCTAGTCCCGTCATGTGGGGTGTGAGGGGAGGGGGCAGCCTTGCCTGTGACCTGAGGGAGGGGCTGACCTGCCACAAAGCCCAGCCTCCTGAGTCTGCGCAGGGCACCTCCCTCCCCTCTGCTCCGTCATCACGTGAACCCTGTGTGTCCCCTTCCATCTCCTGTAACGACTCTCTCTGAACTGAGGGACCACCCACCCAGTATGCAGTCATCTCGGTCTTTACCTTGATGCCACCAGCAAAGACTCTATTCCCAAATGAGGGCACATTCTGAGGTTCTGGGGGACACGTTCAGCCCGCAGCTGGTGTGGCCACAGTCCCTCAGTCCATTCTGCAAGCTGCACTTGGCTGCCCACTGCCCACGGCCGGGAGGGGGGGGGTGGAGCAGGAGCAGTGTGGAGAGACAGGCCGGCGTCCACGGCCCTCACTCTGCACGGTCTCCCACCCACCAACTCAGACCCGGCTTTGCTTTGGGGTCAGAAGGGCCCACGTGGCATGGCCAGCAGATGCGCCCTAACTGGTGGGCTTTAGCTGTACGCTGAGCCCCGCCCGCCTTCACCAGCGGGAAGGGCTTCCAAATCCATTGCCCCTCCGGCCACCACCCTGGAGGGCGGCTACCCCATGTGCCCAGCCACACCAGACACTGACCGCCTGAACTCCCTCTCCAGGCAGGCTGATGCCCTCCTGGCCTCCCCTCCCCTCCTCTCTCCCCTCCCCTCCTCTCTTCCCTCCCCGCCTCCCCTCCCCTCCACCTCCTCTCTCCTCCCCTCCCTTCCCCACCTCCTCTCCCCTCCCCTCCCCGCCTCCGTTTCTCCAGGCAGGCCCTCAGCTTGTGTCCCTAGAGGTGAGAGTGAAAAGGCTGCGCCCACGTTGAGGCCAGGGTTGCACACACCTGGACGCCCATCGGGAGGCGAAAGAGGCCGTGAAGCAAACGTAATGGCTGTTTTCCCAGCTTCTCGGAACTTGGGGCAACAGTTTTCAGAGGCGCCTTCGTTTACTTCTAAATAGAGTCAAACATAGCATTAAGTCATCAGCAGACGCAAAGCACCGCCCGTAATCTGCCTTTCATTTGGCTCCATTTAGTGAAAAGGAGCTTTCAACAGGCGGGCGGGAGCAGGTGCACTGAAAGCGCCCTTGATGGAAACGACCAGGTTCTGGAGACGGTGGGCGGTCTGCGCGCGAGGCCGGGCCGGCCCAGTCCTGCAAACCGCAGGCCACGCGGTGCCAGCTGGACCCGGGCCGCGGAGCCAGGGGGAAACGGAAAAGCGGGCCCGGGCCGGCCGAGCGCACTGTTTTGAAGGGAGAAGGGACCCTGGCTGCGAACTGAAAATTCATCATAACCAAGAGATGCCGTTCTCTGTGAGGAAGGAAGAGGGGGAGGGAGGCCGCACAGGGGGCAGGAAGCTGTGAAAGGCGCCCGATTCTCACTCCCCGGAGGGCTCGGCCTCACCTGTGACCTGTGCCCAGGAGCGGGCTCAGTGCGAGCTCGCAGACATGGGGAGGGGCTCCCGGACGGTAGGGGAGGGGCCGAGGGAAAGGATGGCGCCAGCTGCAAGGGGCTTTCCAGAGCCACCGCCCGGAGCACTTCTGTGGGGTCTGACTGCGCCTGGGGGGTGGGGACAGCTCAGGCAGAGTCTGGGCCCCGTGACTGGGTTCTGGCCTTTGTCCATGTGACCTGAGCCGGAGGGGACCTTGCAGGTGGGATTAAGTTGAGGCCTGGGATGAGCAGTTACCCTGCTTTTCCGGGGGGACCAGAAGCAGAAGCAGGTCCAAGTCATGCCCCCTCCACCCACCAACTCTGAGCAGACGCCCAGGAGGCCACCGGCCACCGCCTGTCCCTCCACCACACTGTCCCCGAGGGAAAACCAGGTTTACGCTGCAGAGAGAAAACCCGACGAGGCTGCAAACAGCAGAAAACACCCAAGAAAACTGTCCAAAGAGAAAAATGTGTAAAAGTTTACTATTTTCATACGTAACTTTAGAAAAGATATATCCCCATATAAAACGTTGCATAGTAAATGACATGTTTGTACAAAACCCAGTAAGAAAACATCCTTTTATCATTTAAGATGATTCTGAAAAAACCGTCGCTGAAAACAAATGGAAACGTCCTAGCCGGTGGCTCTCGTGTGCCAGAGCCCTGGCCGTGCAGCCGCGGCCCACGCTCTCGCCCCACCCGAGAGCAGCAGCTCCACCGGAGCAGCCTTCCGAGCGCCAGGGCCTGCGACACCCACTCCGCGGCCACTGCCGCCCGCCGCTGGGAGGCCGCCACCCGTGGGGGTCCGTGGCGGCCATGGAGGCGGGGGAGGCCGAGAGGCCACGGAGACCGGGAGGCCGTGGAGGCTCCTTCACTGGTAGACGACCTTCACTGGTAGACGACCTTCACTGGTAGACGACCTTCACACAGAACGTCTCCTCGTTCTTGTCCTCGTGGTCGTTGATGTGGATGAGCACCTCCCGCTCCCCGGCCCTCTGACTGGGCGCGAACCGCAGGCCGATGGTGTAGGTCTCTCCGCCCGCGACCTGGAAGAGGCGGCCGTCAGCGCCCAGCCCAGCGCCCTGTCCTCCAGCAACCTCCTCCACCACCTGTTCCCTCCAGCCCTGGCCTGCGTGACCCACAGAGCACCTTGGCCTGGCTCCTGCCTCGGCCGTGGGCTGGGGGTCCTCCAGGCACCAGCTCTGAGCTGCGGTGCCCCTGCTCCTGAGGCCCAATGACCGCCTTCCATAACCCGGGGACACTCCCAGCCACAGAGGCACCCCCACTGCTTCCTGCCACCTTCCCTCCAATGCTCAAGACAGACATGGGTCAACGTGGGGCAGTTCTGGTCAAACTTTGGAGAAACCACAGGTTGGGTCGGTCATCAGGCCGGGTCCCTGAAATGTCGCCTGGACGCGGGTCTCTCTGAGACGACGCAGTGGCGCTCACAGAGGTGCCCTCCCCCCGCACCCTCCCCAGCACCGCACCAGAGCGCAGCCGCCCAGGGCTCGGTGGAGACGCCACTACCCGATGGCCTGGCTCCTACCTCCGTCCCCAGCCCAGGGCTCAGGCCCCAACCCTCACGGTGCCCACCTGGAAGGTGTCCTCCGTGAACTGCAGCAGATCGGGGTGGTCGCTGTGCAGGCAGTAGGCCCGGCGGAAGGGGTAGGGGTTGGTGTAGGTGATCTGCTTGTGGGCGCCCTTCCCCTCCCCCGCGGCCATGGTGATCTCGAAGGCCTGTGGGAGGGCGGCATGGGCTGGGCTCCTGCAGGGACTCCTGAGCCTGCTCTGCGGGGGGCCCAGCAGCTGGGACACAGGACAGACAGCCCCCCCTCAGGGCTCCAAGGGGAGGGGCCCCCAGCACAGGAGCAGCCCCCCGCTTCCCCCAGGGCCAGGAGAAGGGGAGGAAGCTCCTGCCTGGAGCCGGGCCTGGTGGAGGACCAGGTGACCACCGTGCGCCCACGCCTGTGCCCACGCACGCCCCCTCCCAGACCTTGGAGATGAGAGGCGGCCGGCAGGAGAGGCACACGAGCCAGGAGGCCACCAGCTGGTGGAAGTCCACGTCGACCACGTTCAGGTGCACGAAGCGGCTGCCCGCCCGGCGGGGCCTCACGCCCACATGTAGGTCCTGCACCCCGTGGGGCGGCAGCGCGAAGACGCCTTTGGGGTCCATCTTCAGAAACAGAGTGGCGAGTGGGACGAGGGGTTCCAGCACCCGCCCCCCAGGGACCCGCTGCTGGGGGACCACCTGCTCGGGGCCCACGTGGCCGGCGTGCGGCAGAAAGGGCGGATCTCCGTCAGGGCTGGGCCACCGCGGTCACAGCCTGTTCACCACCGTGTCTGACGCCCTGTGTCGGGCAGGTCCCCTCCCACATGGCGGCGAGCCCTCTGGCTCTCACAGAGCCGCAGGCAGGAGCCCGCCCGGCCCGCTGAGCAGAGCAACTGGCTGCACTGACTCAGACTTAGTATCCTCGTCCCAGCGACTCTGAGACAGGCTGTGGGTGTACGTGTCCCCGCCTCCTGATGGCCTGATAAAGGAATCAGACAGAGACTCCACAGACCGCCAGTCCAAGGGCCAGTGAGCCCATCCTCGGGACCACTCACTGAGCGCAGCCCATGCCCACCGCCCACCGCCCGCCCCGCCGCCCCAGGTGGGCGAGAATGGCAGCAGAGAGAACTGAAGGGGTCCAGTAGCCCAGGGCCGTACCGTCAGCTCCTGGGGGTGCGAGGTGAAGGCCCGCACGTTCCTGAGTGTTGGCGTCCCCCGGAGGACCAAGGACAGGCGGGTCCGCTGGCCCACGACACAGGACACGTCCACGCGCTGCAGAGAGTGCAGGTGCACCTGCCAAATCTGGACGGGCGCCGCCAGCCAGCGGTCCCTGTGGGGACAGAGCCAGGAGGAAGCCGAGAAGGCTGCCCAGAGGAGGGAGCAGGAGGGCGCGCGGACAGCTGCTGTCACCCTCCTGCGTGGGCGGCTTGGGGACTGCAGCCGAGGCGTCACTTGGACTCAGGGGGGACGAGAGGGATGTCAGTGTGGGCTTCGCAGCCAGGCCCCCTGGGCAGCCAGAACCGCGAACCAGGCCCGAGGCAGGGCCGTGGCTGCGCTCCGTATAAGGCCACGGCCTGGAGGTCAGCAGGCCTGAGCTCAGGAACCTGGCGTCCGCTGCCGGGACTGTAGGACGGGGCTCTTTCCTGGAAAATGGACTCAGCAACGCATCCCCTCAGGGTCTGGTGGGGACTCCAAGCTGCGGGTCCCTCCGCCCGTGACGGGCGCTGCACACAGGCTGCTCACTGCCCTGTTCTCAGAGGTGCCGACACCTCACCCACACCAGCTTTGACGTTCTCGGGGCTGGGAGACGCCACTTCCAAGGATGGGAGGGCCCAGGTCCCCGAACAGGGTCACTGCAGTGGGGGGAGCAGAGGGCGGGCCGACAGTCTCCGTCGCCCGGAGGAAGCACTGGACGGGCAGCGGGTCCGGGACTGAATGTGCCGCACGGCTGCCTCCACTTCCTCCCCTTGGGCTCTGGACCCACCGTCCCTCGGGCCGCGGGAGCCGCCCTGAGCGGAGGGCGCCCTTCGCCAGGCCCCTGCCAGCCCATGAGTAGCTGCGGAGCAGGCAGGCCTGGCCACGTTCAACGCCCACACCCGCTGCTTCCTCCCCACCCCTCCCCCCACCCCCTGCCGCCGACGCCAGGCTCGCATACTCACACGTAAATGACAACAAAGAAGTCTTTGACATCCGGGCTCGGGCCACTGGCCACCTTCAGGAACACGTCCCTCGGCTCCCCCGGGCCCTGCGGGCAGTGGGGCATCACAGGGACGCCGCCCCTGGACCTGACCCCGCCCCCGGCCCCCGCGAGGCCACAGCAGGGAGAACCAGGCCCCGACGCCTCTAGTTCTCTGTGCTACTCAGAACCCACTAGTGCTTTCACAGCGAAGAGAAAACGCCTTGATTGCACACTGAGCACAGTAACTCTCCTGCAGGAGCCCGTACCCAGCCTCTCGCACGACAGCCGCTCCCTGTACACAGCGGCGATTAACAGATGCCCTCATACACTCGCTCCTCACTCACTCCCCTCGGGTAGCCAAGGACCTGTGTGCTGGCAGGAAGGTGAGGCCTCGCCCAGGAAGCTCTCACAGGCCCGGCAAACAGCCCCTCGCCCGGGAAGAGGCCGTGCACAGAGACGCGCGTGGAGCGGCAGGGGGTGCAGGGACGGTGGGCGTGCGGGAGGACGGAGCGGCCACTCACCATACTCTGGGTCTCACAGATGACGTGCGGGTCGCTGCAGCGGACGTGGACCGGGGGCGCCTCGCCAGGCTTCCCCACGGGAGCACCTGGAGCGGAAAATACCAAGACAAAGGTGTCTCCCGACAGGCGCGGCCGGTGCCGAGGGGACGGGCCTCCACGCCACCCCGGCGTGGACACTGGGTTCCTGCTTGGCCGCCCCTGCGCGGGGCCCGTCCGCAGGCAGAGGCCATAGCGGAAGTGCGAGTGCCCGCAGCCAGCACGGCTCCCTCAGCGCCACAGGCACCAGCGCAGTGGGGGGGGGGCACAGGCACCAGCGCAGTGGGGGGGGGGCACAGGCACCAGCGCAGTGGGGGGAGGGGGGCACAGGCACCAGCGCAGTGGGGGGAGGGGGGCACAGGCACCAGCGCAGTGGGGGGAGGGGGGCACAGGCACCAGCGCAGTGGGGGGAGGGGGGGCACAGGCACCAGCGCAGTGGGGGGGCACAGGCACCAGCGCAGTGGGGGGGGGGCACAGGCACCAGCGCAGTGGGGGGAGGGGGGGGCACAGGCACCAGCGCAGTGGGGGGAGGGGGGCCACAGGCACCAGCGCAGTGGGGGGGGGCACAGGCACCAGCGCAGTCGGGGGGGGGGAGGGCACAGGCACCAGCGCAGTGGGGGGAGGGGGGGCCACAGGCACCAGCGCGGGGGGGGGGCCACAGGCACCAGCGCAGTGGGGGGGGGGCACAGGCACCAGCGCAGTCGGGGGGGGGAGAGCACAGGCACCAGCGCAGTCGGGGGGGGGCACAGGCACCAGCGCAGTCGGGGGGGGGGGGGCGCCGCGGGCGCACTGTCTTCGGTTTGAAATGACACAGGCAGGAGGGAGAGCCGACAGCTGTGCCGGGTGTCGGGTGAGAGCATCGCAGGGTAACGACGATGCCACCGCCCCTCGGGGAGAACCGTTCCCAGCTGCTGAGCCACAGCACACCCGGCCCGACGGGACCTGCCTGGGAGCATGTGCCAGGGGGGCAGGCGGACGGCCTTCTTCAGGAAGGTGAGCTCCGGGTGGTAGAAGCGGAAGACCTGGTCCACCGCGGGCGGCTGCGGCTGCACCGTCAGCAGGAGCACGGCCAGGGGCTTGCCGCCGCCCGCCCGGAACAGCACCTGCGAGCGGGGGGCGTCAGGGCGCACACGGCCCGTCTCCGTGGTCCTCACCGCCCCCCAGGGGACACGATCAGAGACAGGGCAGTCGGCACAGGTTGCCTACACAGAGGGTGGCGCCCGGCACGGCGCCCGCCTGTGGACGTGTCCCCCCGTGTGCACCACGATGGCCGCCACTGCTCTTCCTCCTGAGGAGGGCGCACCCGGATGCGCCTTCAACTGCCACCGACCCTGCCTCTTCCCAGCACACGTGCAAGGGACAGGCATGGAGGGAAGGTTTCAGTGGCAAACTAGAACGGGACAGCCGCCGCGAGCCCACGTCCCGCTCGGAACGGCACACCCTCCACACGGCAGAGCTCTGTGCCCAGCCCCGCCCGACCCGAGTCTGTGCCCCCTTCCACCTGTGCCCAGCCCCACCCCACACCGAATCTGAGTCACCCCCTACCCCGTGCCCAGCCCCGCCCGACACCCTGAGTCTGTGCCCCGTCTGCCTGTGCCCAGCCCCGCCCGACCCCCGGAGTCTGTGCCCCGTCTGCCTGTGCCCAGCCCCGCCCGACACCCCGAGTCTGTGCCCCCTTCCACCTGTGCCCAGCCCCGCCCGACACCCCGAGTCTGTGCCCCCTTCCACCTGTGCCCAGCCCCGCCCGACACCCCGAGTCTGTGCCCCCTTCCACCTGTGCCCAGCCCCACCCCACACCGAATCTGAGTCACCCCCTACCCCGTGCCCAGCCCCGCCCCACACCCAGAGTCTGTGCCCCGTCTGCCTGTGCCCAGCCCCGCCCGACCCCCGGAGTCTGTGCCCCGGCTGCCTGTGCCCAGCCCCGCCCGACACCCCGAGTCTGTGCCCCCTTCCGCCTGTGCCCAGCCCCGCCCGACCCCCGAGTCTGTGCCCCCGCTGCCCGTGGGCCCCTCTGCCCTTCCGGCAGCTCTGCGTCTGGCTTTGCCTTTTGAAGCTGCATCTGAAGGCGTCGCCCTGCGGGTCGGTCCCCGCACGCGGTGTGCTCCTGGGCCTGTGCCCCGGCTCGGAGAGAGGCCCCAGGCCCACGCTCACACCCGTCAGGGGTGCCCTGACACCCCACCAGTGTTCTATCGCCTCACTGAGGCAGCGACTGGAAAATGACTTTATCTCCTGTGCTGCTCGAGCAGAACGTGCACCTATAACTGAGTGCTCAGACCGAACCTCCACACTCTCCGCAGTGTTCGCGACACTAAGCAGCTCTGAGAGCGCTGGCCGTTCGTGCAGGTCAGTGGACGCTCTGGAAAGGGCCCATCGGTGCAGGACGGGCCAGCCCTGCGGAGAGGGGGCAGCGGACCCGCCGTGTGCAGCACCTCGTGCCACGGCCAAGGGCTAGAGGGGCTCAGAGTCCACGGAAAGGGAGTGGCGGACACGCGATGAGCACCCGCCCCACAGAGGCTTTGACAGAGGGAACAGGAGGGCTCTGTACACCCACTGCCAAGGTCTCAGGGCCACGTTCATGCTCTGCACGCACAACACACACACACATGTTCACATGCATGTACACACGTGTGTGTACACATGTACATGCACACAGGGAAAGGGTTGGGAAAGGTAACCAGCTCTTCCTACATGTATCTCATTTTATAACTTGATTTTGGACTCATGTAAATGCTTTCAACTTGAAAACTACGTTAATGTTTAAAGGACCTGTATGTGTGAGAAACAAGAGAAACAAACAGGTCACACATGTTGAGGTGGGGACATGACTGCCCGGAAGAGTCCCTCAGAGAGCGTGAGCACAGGCCTGCGGGATCCCGTCGGGGGCTGCACCACATGTTCAGTGCACACGCACAAGCGCACACACACACACACACACACACCACCAGCCACTGCGGCCGGCAGCACTGGACCACGGGGGCAGCACCAGCCCACGGGGACACCACCGGCCCACGGGGGCAGCACCGGCCCACGGGGGCAGCACCGGGCCACGGGGACACCACCGGCCCATGGGGGCAGCACCGGGCCACGGGGACACCACCGGCCCACGGGGGCAGCACCGGCCCACGGGGGCAGCACCGGGCCACGGGGACACCACCGGCCCACGGGGGCAGCACCGGCCCAGAGGGCAGCACGTCACAGGCTGGCCGTCCTCAAACTGAGCAGACAGGTAGATACATGGAGGAGGACGAAGCCAGTTTCTCACGGCAGAAATGGGATCCCCTTTCCAGGGGAAGGGCTGCTGACAAGCCCACGATATCCGTGACGCCCGTGATACCACACCGTCCTGGGCGCTGGTGCAATCCCCCCTCCAGCCCCACAGGCGGCGGCGGCGTCTGACGGGCACCCGTGCCCACGCCCAGCACCCAGGTTTGGTTTCTCAATACCCTTCTCCACCCAGGAGCTGGTACAGGGCCGCTCAGGGAGGGAGCAGGCACACAGCCGCCTGCCGGCAGGAAGGAAGCACCAGAGGGATGGAGGGTGCGGGCACGTCCCACCACTGCACCCGATGGGATGCTGGGCACGGGCACAGCCAGCCCCCGGGCCTGCGCAGGCAGCCCCAGAGACGGAGCACGAGGACAGCGGGCACGGGGCAACGGCTCACGCCAGCACCAAGGGCTGCACGTGGTGAGTGGCCGGGAGACGCCTCCACGTGAGACACCCAGCCAGCAGCCGTTCCAGCACCTGGACGGGGAAGTCCCCCTCTAAGTGCCCTGCCCACACCCCTTCCCTCCAGGAGGCCGGCAAGGGCAGAGGGGCCGGGCCCAGGCGGCCCGAGAGCAAGCAGAACCCATGACACTGCCCGGTCCCCGTGGAGGACACCGGCTCGCCCCCCACGGCCTCGTGCACCTCAGATCAGGCCTGTCCTCTGCCCGCACCTTGGCGTGTCTGGTGGGCATCACGCTGTCCGCAGGGGATCCGGGGTCCGTGCCCTTCTCAGGTCTCAGGTCCGCAGAGGCCTGTGGGAAAGCAACCGGCACCCGCGGGTCACGGACGGATCCTGGGGGGCAGGCACTGCTGTCCACCTGCAGGTCGGTCCACTGCGGGACAGCTGCCCTGGCCTCATGGTGCTCACGGTGACCTCACAGCGCCCTCACAGCGACCTCAGTGATGCTCACAGTGACCTCACAGCGACCTCACAGCGACCTCAGTGACGCTCACAGCGACCTCAGTGACGCTCACAGCGACCTCAGTGACGCTCACAGCGACCTCACAGCGACCTCACAGCGACCTCAGTGACGCTCACAGCGACCTCACAGCGACCTCACAGCGACCTCACGGCGCCCTCACAGCGACCTCACGGCGACCTCACAGCGACCTCAGTGACGCTCACAGCGACCTCACAGCGACCTCAGTGACCTCACAGCGACCTCACAGCGACCTCAGTGACGCTCACAGCGACCTCACAGCGACCTCACAGCGACCTCACAGTGACCTCACAGCGACCTCACAGCGACCTCAGTGACGCTCACAGCGACCTCACAGCGACCTCACAGCGACCTCACAGCGACCTCACAGTGATCTCACAGTGACCTCACAGCGACCTCAGTGACGCTCACAGCGACCTCACAGCGACCTCACAGCGACCACAGCGACCTCTCAGCGACCTCACAGCGACCTCACAGCGACCTCAGTGACGCTCACAGCGACCTCACAGCGACCTCAGTGACGCTCACAGCGACCTCACAGGGACCTCACAGCGACCTCACAGCGACCCTCACAGCGACCTCTCAGCGACCTCACAGCGACCTCACAGCAACCCTCACGGCGACCTCACGGCGACCTCACGGCGACCTCACGGCGACCTCAGTGACGCTCACAGCGACCTCACAGCGACCACACAGCGACCTCACAGCGACCACACAGCGACCTCACAGCGACCTCAGTGACGCTCACAGCGACCTCACAGCGACCTCACAGCGACCTCAGTGACCCTCACAGCGACCTCACAGCGACCTCACAGTGACCTCACAGCGACCACACAGCGACCTCACAGCGACCTCACAGCGACCACACAGCGACCTCACAGTGACCTCACAGCGACCTCACAGTGACCTCACAGCGACCTCACAGTGACCTCACAGCGACCTCACAGCGACCTCAGTGACGCTCACAGCGACCCTCTCAGCGACCTCTCAGCGACCTCACAGCGACCTCACAGCGACCTCACAGCGACCTCACAGCGACCTCACAGCGACCTCACAGCGACCTCAGTGCCGCTCACAGCGACCTCACAGCGACCTCAGTGACGCTCACAGCGACCTCACAGCGACCTCACAGCGACCTCACAGCGACCCTCACAGCGACCTCTCAGCGACCTCACAGCGACCTCACAGCAACCCTCACGGCGACCTCACGGCGACTTCACGGCGACCTCACGGCGACCTCAGTGACGCTCACAGCGACCTCACAGCGACCACACAGCGACCTCACAGCGACCACACAGCGACCTCACAGCGACCTCAGTGACGCTCACAGCGACCTCACAGCGACCTCACAGCGACCTCAGTGACCCTCACAGCGACCTCACAGCGACCTCACAGTGACCTCACAGCGACCACACAGCGACCTCACAGCGACCTCACAGCGACCACACAGCGACCTCACAGCGACCTCACAGTGACCACACAGCGACCTCACAGTGACCTCACAGCGACCACACAGCGACCTCACAGCGACCTCACAGCGACCACACAGCGACCTCACAGCGACCTCACAGCGACCACAGCGACCTCACAGCGACCACACAGCGACCTCACAGGGACCTCACAGCGACCACACAGCGACCTCACAGCGACCACACAGCGACCTCACAGCGACCTCACAGCGACCTCACAGGGACCTCACAGCGACCCTCACAGGGACCTCACAGCGACCTCACAGGGACCTCACAGCGACCCTCACAGGGACCTCACAGCGACCTCACAGCGCCCTCACAGCGACCACACAGCGACCTCACAGCGACCCTCACAGCGACCACACAGCGACCTCACAGCGGCCTCACAGCGACCTCACAGGGACCTCACAGCGACCCTCACAGCGACCTCACAGCGACCCTCACAGCGACCTCACAGCGACCTAACAGCGACCTCACAGCGACCTCACAGCGACCTCACAGCGACCTCACAGGGACGCTCAGCGGCTGCTATAACCGGCCTCGCTGCCCAGAGGCTGGGAGGCCGCGCGGCTGTGGAGAAGGGGCCGCTAACCCAGCTCTGCCTGGAGCCAGAGGCCTGACGACTCGCCCCCGCCCTTAACCTCTTGCCCACGGTGCACGCAGAGCCCCCCGGGAAGTCTGCGAGCCCTGGGATCCCTCAGGCCATTTAAGGGGTGACCATCATCCCACAGAGCTGACCTCAAGGTCACTGTCCCAACAAGGAGACACGTGCCCACACCCTCCCCATCACGCACACGCACGCATGCACACACACATGCACACACGCACGCACACGCACATGCACGCACGTACACACACATGCACACGTACGCATGCTCCTCACGTCTGCACAGGAAGCCTCGGGCCTGGCCTCTTCTGGGGAGCACACAGGGCGGTAACAAGGGCGCAGCCCTCACTGCAGGGGCCGGGCTGGGAGGCAGCCCCAGTTCTGACGTCTGGGGAAGCTCATGACCGGTTTAGTAGACTCAGACGGCCTCGCCTTTCCTGCCACCGACCCCCCGCCCCCCCAAACCAGCACGCAGGGAACACGAGGCGTCGGGCCACCGTGCACTGCCTGGGTGCCGGGGTGCGAGGCCGCGGAGGCGACGCCCGAAGGCTCAGCCATGTGGCGGCTCAGGGCCCCTGGTCCCCATGTTCTGTGCCTGGCGACCAGCCCTCGGCTCCGGGAGGCCCACCTGCGCCACAGAGAAGGTCTGGTACTTGAAGGGGACGTGGGCGGTCTCCCGGGGGCGCAGGAAGAGCTGGGGTGCGAGGCCGCCGCGCAGGCGGAACATGTCCTCCTCCACAGGCGTGTGCAGGCCGGCCGCCGCCTTCAAGTGCCTCCACTCCTGGCTGTCCACGATGAGGCTGGGCGGGAGGCGGAGCTGAGCCAGAACGGTCCCCTGGGGCCCCAAGGCCCCACAGGGAGGGCCCAACCCCACCCCCGAGCTGGCCCCACCCCCCCAGCTGGCCCCACCCCTCTGAGCTGGCCCCACCCCCCCCCGAGCTGGCCCCACCCCTCTGAGCTGGCCCTTCCTTCCCCTCCGAGCTGCCCCACCTGAGCTCAGGGTTGTCCACCTCGATGGTCACAGTGTGCGGCGTGTTGTGGGGGTTCCTGAGGGCGAACTCGAAGAACTCCGCGGTGCCCAGCGAGGCGTACAGCGTGTGCTCCACGGTGATGGCCAGGCTCAGCGCGCTGGCAATGTGTTGGGCCTTGGTGCGCTCCCGGTAGGCGGCGATGACCTGCAGGTCCCGTGCATGCTGAGCCCGGACGTTCTGCTGAGCCTGCGAGACACCAGCCGAGCCAGGGCCACGTCCTGGGCGCGCTCCTCGAAGCTGCTTCCCACCTCCCCACCCCGCCCCCAAGTCCGGCTTCTCCTGGACTCCCCTCTCCCCCCTCACGTGGTCTGCGCAGGACCAGCCGGGCCCCAGCTCCAGGGACGGAGCAGGGCACCCCTGGCTGCTCTCTACCCATGGGAGGTGGGGTCTGCCCTGCAAGCTCCGGACTGACTACGCCGCCACCACCACCGCCCCACACCCAGGAGGCCGGCTCCGGGCACCGCGGGGAATGGGAGTCAGAGGTTTCCAAGAAAAGAGAAAAGAACCCCCTCAACACTGACAGGTGGCCGGCTCCCCAGCCAGGTCCCCGTGTGGCAGCAGGCGCCCTGTCTGCAGCAGAGTCCCTGGAGGGGAGTGTCCTGCCCAACAACCTCCAGCGGGGTCCGGACCTCGGGCAGCTGCCGTGGGGCAGTGCTGCGGGTCCCTGCCAACCCTCCCTCCTCGCCCGTGACTCCGTGGGCTTGGCCCCTCAGGGGTGCTCCAAGGCTGGAGGTCGGCTGCTTTTCTGGTGAGCCTCCCACTAAAAAGTGGGGCCCAGGGCTGGTCTGCGAGACTGAGAGCAGCAGGGCCACCCCAGGCCGGGCCTCCAGACACAGGCGGCCAGACGCCAGGGAAAGGCCACCAGACCGCCTCTGGGCTGGAACTCAAGGGCGGGGCCCGGTTCCATTTCTGACTTAAATGACTGCATCACCCACAATGCTGGCCCTCCCACGCCGGGGCGAGCGCCTTGCATTCTGCTGGGGTTTGAAAATGGGGGTGGCCCTGCTCCACGGGGGCCTCCCTGGGGGGCTTAGACCTTCCCAGTGGAGCGGGGCCGCTGGCCAGGCTGGTTCCACGCTGGACGAACAGGGAGTGCTCACCAGCACGCTCCTCCGGCAGCCCTGCTCGCCGCCGGCCCCCTGCGCACGCACAGCCCTCATCCGCTCCAGCTTGCGCCTGCGAACCGCGTCCCCCTCCCGCACGGCGCCCCGGGGCCCCTTGCTCCCCGGCGGCAGGGGCGTGAACAGCATGGCGGCCAGCTCGCTGTCCACATCTGCCAGCTTCTGTGCCTGGACCACGTTTTTCACCCCTAGAAGGTTCAGAGGAGCCAGAGGTCAAAGTTCACTGTTGGAGCAGATGCGGCCACGTGGCCGCTCTTTCCTGTGACTGCAGAGCTGTCCCCTCACGCCCTCCCGTTCACAAGTCGGAGGAGCTCTGACCTCCATCCACGTTCCTCCTGACTCCTTCACTTCCTGTTCCCACAGAGGAGCAGCCGCCCACAACAGGCCGCTCGTAGGGTTAAGCTTCTCTACGCGATACCAGGCTGCCAGCCCGGGCCAGAGCGCTGGGCCTGCCCAGCGTGGTGAACCGAGTGGCCGCAGGCCCAGGAGGCGGGCACTCAGGGGCACTGGCGGCCATCACTCTGCGCCCAGGTCCAGAGGGGCGTGCACACGACACGCTCACACACCTGCACACGTGCAGCCTTCTCTGCCTCGGTGTGCTCCCCCCAACCCCACCCCACGCCAATCACACCCACGCACCACCCACCCACCCACTCACGTCTCGGGGCCCCGTGCATGAGGAGGCTGCCTCCGTCGAAGCGGCCGGCTCCCTCATTCGAGATGACCCGCAACCTGGAAGGTGGCAGCGCGCTGGCCTCTCTCCCTCTCTGCTCACACAGGTGACCTAGGCGGAAAGCGCCTCCGTGAGACATCTCCACAAGTAAGAGCCTGAGGGCACGTGCCCACGAGGAGGCCCGCTGTCCACCAGCCACCCTCCCCTCCAGCCGAGCATGGAGGAGACAGCAGCCTGCTCCAGGGCCCCAGCGTCGGCACTGCCCTGGTCACCTCGCCCCTCCCTGCTGTCCAGAGCCACGTGACCCAGAGGGAGCTCAGGGAGGCACCGCCCCCCCCAGCCCCAAGCCCTCCCTCCCTGCCACCAGCTCAGAGGTGGCCCAGGCTCCTGGCTCCGCACCGTTTCTTCTGCACCAGGGGGTGTGGCCCTACAGGCCTTGGCAAGCTCTGTGCCCCGTCCCAAGAGCCCACTGCCCAACTGCCCAGCAGGTGGCACATGCCACCTGCACTCACTGCGGGCACAGTGGCCTCAGCCACAGGGAGGGAGGCAGGCTCTCCCGCAGCTTCCTCCACCCACTCCTGCGGCGAGGGGTCCCCTGCAGGCCGGCCGGCCAGGCCGCCTCTGGTCCCCACACCGACTGCGATGAGCACGGCCTAGGCTAAGCCTGAGAGACACGCAGAGACCAAGGAAACCACGCAGGTCAGGACCCGGGCCGACGGCGCAGGGGCAGGTCCAGGGTCCTGGGGGCTCGGGCTCGGGCTGACTGCCCCTGCGGCCTGTGGGGCAGCAGGGCCCCGCGGTCCCCTCCTGGGCAGACGAGGTCCCCGGCTTCCTGCGCTTGTACTTGGACGCTGGTTTGTTCTCTATCAACTGGAAAAGCTGAGCCTACATGTGCACAACGCCGAGGGCCGCAGGGCCAGGACCCGAACTCCCCAGGGCTGTTTTCCGTCGGAAACTGCTGCCGGTTTCCTTCCCCGCAACAGACAGGCGGCGTGTGGGACCGCAGCAGCCGCCGGAGCCGAACCCTCCCATACGCAGGGCCCCTCGCAGCCCTGAGCTCCCACAATGCGCGGACCCCAAACTCGGGTCATTTGTCACGGTGCACACCCCTACCCCTTGTCCTTCCACCGTGAGAACACGGGATGTGACCGCAGAGCCGGGCTCAGGGCACCCCTTCCCCCAGGAAGCAGCAGGGACCAGCGGCCACCCCGCACCCAGGACACTGGGGTCCAGGAAAGGACGGGCTCCTGGACGCCGACATGACCAAGGACGCGGAAAGGCCGCTGAGGAGCAGGCTGCTGGGCAGCAAAGCCTGTCTGAGCCAGGAAGCCACTGGCCAAGGACAAGGTGCCGCGGAAGGATCCACGGAGACCGCGCGCCGCAGCGAGGCTCCCTCCAGGCCCCGCAAGATCTGAGCGCAGGAGGCTTAGCGCTGCCCGGGCAAGGGCGAGCCGGGAAGGGGACCCTGCGGTCACCCGGGAGGCTCCCCGGCCATCACCCCGTCTGCAGGCCTGTGCCTGCTGCCTGGTGCAGAACAGCCGTTCATACGGAAATAAAAGCTACAACGAATACACAGGAAACCGCCGCGCGGCCACGCAGGTACGGCGTGCGGCACGCGTGCTCGTCCTTTGTTAACCGCTCCGTGCGAGTCTGCGTGGCGCCTCGCGAGCAGGTCTCTCCGACTCTCTCCCATGAGCTTATCTCTCCCTCGCAGGCAAAGCATGAAAATGACAATTGAAGATAACACGTAATGGAGCTAATCTTTCTTCTGGAGATAAGACTGTAGCACCCGGAGTCGCGCACATTGTGGGCTCGTGATTAAATGGAGAAATAACCCGCACAATCCTGGCAGCGGACTGCAGCTCCCCGGCCTGCGCGCTTCTGAGCCCGTCTGCTGCTCACATGTGGCTCGTTTACTTCTCCAGAACCTAACTGAGTTTTGCTGCTTCCACATTGTCTATTTCCCAGCTGCCCTGGATGCTGCATTTGTAAACAAGCGGCAGAAACCGGGCGCCTTAATGAGCGCGCACCTGCCGCTGCCCGGCTCGCGGCTGTGCTGACGCCGGTGCTGACACTGCGGATGGCCCCTGGGCGGAGCCTCACGCTCAGGCCGGGTTCTGAGTGGAAAATTCCCGATGCAGCAACAGAGGCTTGAGTCCTCCGGGCAGACACCGCTCCACATCCTCTACCGACTTGGTGTCGTCCAGCTTTCACTTCTGCCCAGAACCCCAGTCCTGCTACCGGCCCTCCAGGGCAGCGGAGTGGGCTGGCCACTGGCCCTCTGCCCAGGCCACCTCTTCTCCGGTCAGAGGCCTCAGTCACACCCAGAAGACCACCCCCAGGCCAGACTCCCTGCAGGTGGAGGGGGGATCGGGGCTCAGGCTCCCTGCCCAGCCACTCTCGGGGCGCAGGGCACCACGGGGCGAAGGTCAAGGCTGGGCCCTAAAGGCGTGCTTCTCGGGCCCTGCCCCCAAGTTACACACATCCAGGCACATTTCTCTCCCTCCTCTGAGACGGAAAAGCTCTCCTGGTCGCTGTAGTTGAGGACTGTCACAGAGGCCCCGGGACAGCACCACGAACAAATGAGGGCCAGGCCGGGGACTAACCGCCCCAATCATGTCAGAAATCAGGAGCACAAACAACTGGCCCAGGGCAGACCTGGTGGTCAAAGGCAGGCTCCATGGACAAGGGCAGGCTCAGTGGTCAAGGGCAGGCCTGGGGTACAAGGGCAGGGCAGGCATGAGGAGCCGAAATAGCTCAGTTGGGAGAGCGTTAGACTGAAGGGCAGGGCAGGCAGACAAGGGCAGGCCCAGGGGACAAGGGCAGGGCAGACAGACAAGGGCAGGCTCAGTGGTCAAACTAATAACAGTTTTGCTAACTCCTACTCCTACGATGCCCACAATTTGTGCCACCACCTGCGGAGCTCATGCTCCAGCTGGGAAGGCGAGTGGCTGCCAGGAAAGGACGAGAGGCCACATGAAGCGTCGGGACTCTTACCCACGTTGGCCAAGGTCAGGTGCAGCAGGCCCTTCACCACCGTGTGGACACCGATCGGCCTGACGCTGCCAGACGCAGTCACGTCTCCACTCAGCACCATTGCATCCTGTTCGTATTCGGTGGCCAGGACCTCGAGCTCGTGGGAGACCTGCACGGCCGGGCGGCCCTGGCGGAGGAGGTGCTGCCGGGGAGAAGGCACGTCACCGCCCAGCAGATCCGACCTGGAACCCGAGCCCAATGCTGGCCGGGCTTCTCCACAAATTCACCCACCACATCAACACCCGGAAGCCGCCCTCGGGAGCCCCCTCCGTGGGGAGAGAGGGGACGGAGCAGCAGGACAAGGCGGGACACTGAGCAAACCCCATCTCTACGTCAAAGCTGCGAGGTCGGACCTTTCAGAACCAAGACGGGGCTACAGGCAGGACGGGCCAAGGGACACGCCAAGCCGGGTGCCAAGCACAGAGCCCCTAGGCCGGGGCCGCAGGACGGGACACGGGGTCGGAGGAGGCCTGGCAGCTGGAGCCGATGGCAGGACCTCCAGAGGCCATGGTCCGAGCGGGCGAGGGAGGCCCACACGGTCAGGACCTTCCCGACTCAGCTCCTCTGCCTGAGCCGACGGCCAGTGAGGCCCCAGGGATGATGGGGTCACAGGTCACCTCTGGCCCAGCGGGCCTCTCCCTGTGAGGCCTCGGGAAGGCCGCCTCACCTCTGGCTAGCGCGTCTCACACACAAATGGAAGCGAGGGAGGACTGCGCCCCAGCCTTGGGACTCCTGCGCCCCCCTTTCCCCCGCCGGAGGGATGAACACAGACTTAGGTCTTAGTGTATGGGGGATGGAGAGTCCCCAGAGAAAGGATTCCACTGTAAGTCCAGCTGGAACTCTAAAAGCAGGATCCTGAACCCGGCGCAGGCCCCGTCCCTGCCCACTGAAGGCAGCCCCCGGGCCGGGCCCGGAACCAGGCCGCCTGGGCTGTCTGGGGACTGACGTCTCCCATGAAGGAGCAGGTGACACCACCTGGCTGGTCAGCCCGTGGGAGGCACAAAGAACTGAGCCAGGGGACCCAGCCTCAGGGACCCAGCCCCGTGGAAACGTCTCCCGGGAAGGGCCGCGCCGCTACCTTCAGGTGCACGGCGGCCGAGCCGATGAGCAGCAAGGAGTCTCCGTCCCAGACGTCCACCTGCAGGCTCTGCACGGCCAGGTAGCGGGTGAACCAGCGCCGCTCACCCGGCCTCAGGAACCCGGGGTCCACCAGGTACCTCAGCTGGAAGCCCGGAGGCCCTGTTCCGAGAGGTCCCAAGTGAGTCCAAACGCAAGGGGTCATTTCTCATCCTCACACTGTGAAGAGGTTCCCGCTCTAATCATGCTAGTTCCTGCTTCCGTCACAGCTACAGTTTAATAAACACGTTAATCAAAGTCCAAATTAACACGCAAAGGCTACACTGCTTTCCAACATGTTCAACAAACTCCTCCCAAACGAAGACTGATGTTTCCCTGAGTCCTGGGGATCGGGCCACGCGGGGCGACAGGGCCCCACGGCTGCAGGAGTCACACTCAGGCTCAGGAATCAGGGAGGAGTCAGTCAGCATCTCCTGTCAAAGCTGCACGTCACTCACACACGCAGAGCTCAGCACACGCCAGCGGAGACCAGAACTACCACCACCAGCCCCACCCCCAACTTCTCCCCCTCTCCCCTTCCCCTCCCCCCTCCCCCACACACACCCCGGATCTAAGGCAGCAGCCCCACAGGGAGCAGGCCCCTGCGAGGGCCACTCTGGACTATCAGGCTTTGTACTAAGAGGTGGGCGCCGCCTTCATGGTCCCCACATGGCGTCATCATTCATCCTAAATTGACAAAAATGCCACTGAAATCGCCATTAGTCGAGGTACTGGGAACAGCCATGCTGGGACCACATTCAAAACATTCCCCCTTCCCATCAATAATGTAACCATCTTTACGAAGCCCCCCGATGAGCAGAATATTAACTCCGGGAGGAGGGGGCGAATGTTTACCCAGCAACCCATGCGGCCTGGGCCAGGTTGCGGTCCTACCCCACCCCCAGCCACCTCAGCCCTGTGGGTGCCCACCCAGTAAAGTCCCCTCTGCTCCCCTCAAAACCAGGACAGTGCTCTCGGTGGGAGGACAAAATGGGTCCGGACAGGGACACAGCACTGGGGGGAGGACACAACACGGGACGGGGGGGGGGGGGGGGTATTGGGCCCGAGGGAAATGGAGTGAGGACCAGAGGGGAACAGCTTATAGGGGCACTTCTCAGGGCGGTGACATTATTCCCTGTGGTACTGTCATAGTAGATATATGATGTTAAACATCTGTCAAAATGTAGAATGTACAACACCAAGAGCAAATCTTAGTGTAAACCAGCGGTTCTCAACCTGTGGGTCTCGACCCCTTTGGCGGTCGAACGACCCTTTCACAGGGGTCGCCTAAGACCATCCTGCATATCAGATATTTACATTACGATTCATAACAGTAGCAACATTACAGTTATGAAGTAGCAACGAAAATAATTTTATGGTTGGGGGTCACCACAACATGAGGAACTGTATTTAAAGGGCCAGAAGGTTGAGAACCACTGCATTAAGGAATGGCCTGCCCATCGAGGGGAGGGGGGATGGGATGCCCCGCTGCAAGGACCCCTGGAAGGGGGATGCCCGGCTGCAGGGACACCCGGAAGGGGGACACTCAGGCAGGGACACTTTTGATGGAGACTCCACTGTATAAGAAACTGCAAGAAACTTTTTTTAGACTCTAACTTGAGAATTTTGGACTTCGAGTTTTAATTCACATTGACAAGAAAACTTGATTTTGGAGTTTAATTTCTCTGGACTTCAACTTGCAAGGAAATTTAATTTTTTTTTTTAATATATTTTATTGATTTTTTACAGAGAGGAAGGGAGAGGGATAGAGAGTTAGAAACATCGATGAGAGAGAAACATCGATCAGCTGCCTCCTGCACATCTCCCACTGGGGATATGCGCGCAACCCAGGTACATGCCCTTGACCGGAATCGAACCTGGGACCCTTCAGTCCGCAGGCCGACGCTCTATCCACTGAGCCAAACCGGTTTCGGCGGAAATTTAATTTTTGGTCAAATTTCTCTCTGGGAATTCACAATGCAAAGGGGTTTATATTCAAAGTGGGAGCACCTCTGGGATGCAAATCCCAAGTGCAGGCTGTGGGGAACTCCGGGAAAGCACATGGCCACGTCAACAAAACCATCAAAAACAGGTGGGACGGTGGCAGCAACCAGACAAAGGAGACGTGAGTCCCCGCTGCCACGCAAGGAGCTGATTTAAACACACTATTAAAAAACGGTATGAAATTGGGGAAAGTTTTACATTGGCTAGATGTTCGATGATATTAGTGATTAATTTTTAGGTGGGATAACATTGAGTTTGCTTTTTCAAAAAGACTCTGGTTTTTCAGATATACATCAGGAAACTGTGGGTGAAATGACACAAGGAAATGGTAGCGCAGGCTGGAGAAGATCTGGTGGGGATACAGCCGATACTGTTAGAGGTGACACATACTAGTTTCTCAGATTCTGCATGTGTTTGGAATTCTTCATTGTACAGCATTTTTTAATAATGAAACTTTCAGCCCTGGCTGGTTGCTCGGTGGTTAGAGTGCTGAGCTGCTGACAGAAGGGTCTCGGGTTCGATTTCCAGTCAAGGGCACGTACCTGGGTTGCAGGTTCCCCAGCCCCATTGCACGCATTTGGGAGGCAGCCAATCGATGTGTCTCTCACATCGATGTTTCTCTCTCTCCCCCTCCTCCCTCCCACCCGCTCTCTCTCTACAAATAATGGAAAACATATCCTCAGGTGATAATTTAAAAAAACAGAAAGACTCTGAGACAAAGTGTGGCTCACCAGCATCGGAGGAGCCGTGGTGACTGGTGGGAACAAGGATGTGTGACAGGGGGCCCGAGCGGCTCTTCCCGGCCCCGTCCAGCGGGAGCAGCTGCAGCCGCGGGGTCGTGGCGGGCGGGAAGCGGTAGAACTGGAAGGTGAAATACACGGTGCGCGGCCACGGCGTTCCCGGGTCATCCTCGGGCACCCTGAGTCCGACAGAGCCGTGGGTTAGTTAAGTGTCCTCGGCGGAGAGCGGGCTGCAGTCACCCCCTTGCGAGGTGGCTGACAGCACAGGAACGCTGTGCGAGGCCGTGCCAAACGGAACGTCAGACGCACCCCGCCGTCTACTGAGACCTGAGCACAGGGCTGCCAGCTCGGACCACACAGGTTTCTACTCGGCGCACCAAGTGCACAAGCCAGGGCCAGAGCAGCAGACAGTCCGAGAGCGCACCTGCTGAAGGCGAGGAACTGCAGCACCACCTCGCTGCCCCGGAGACGGTCGGCTTCCTCCCTCTGCAGGCTGAACTTCACGGGGTCCGCAGGGCTGACGGCCTCCACCGGCTGCTGGCTGGCGTCCAGGATCTCGGGGAAGCCGGCGGCCTGCAGGAGCGCCATGCAGGCCCGCGAGAGCCTGCCTCCGGAGCTGGAACACACAGACGCTCAGCGGCCTCGGGGAAGGGCGCCCGAGGCAGTGCCCGGACCCGCCTCTGGGGACAGCCTGGGTTCAGAGGGCCATGCGGTCTCCACGCACTTGTCTGCCGAGTCCCTCCCGAGCCCCCCCTCACCTCCGGGCCTGGGCCCCCACGACGATGGGGGCGTGCACGGGGGCGAAGGGCAGCTCCTGCAACTGCTCGGCGACACAGGTCCCCGGGACCACGGGCGTGGGGCTCAGGTCAGCTTCCAGGTGCGCGATCCCGCCCTCCAGGGGGAGCTCCTGCGGACGGGATGAGGCCCAGGTAAGGCCCGGGAGGCTGGGTCTAGGCGCGCATCCCTGAGCGGCTGCCCCGCGGGCCTCAGCGGATAGAAACAGAGGAGGCTCCGCGGCCTTAGCCTTGGGCGGACGATGAGGATTGCAGTGCACGTCCCAGGGAGCATCTGGGACAGGCTTAGACCACAAGGCTAAGTTTTATCTGGAGTTCCAATTTATCGGGGCGCCCTGTATTCTGTGTGAGGGGAAAGGCAGCGAGGCAGGAATCGCTGATTTAATGAACTCGGTGCCCTGGGAGAGACATGCTGCCCGAGAAGGCTCGTTCACACCAAACCGCGTTTACGGGCAAGACACGCAACATCCTTCAACACGTTCCTGTCCCCGCGCCACTCGCACCGCCGGCCACTTCCCTCCAGAGCACAACGCCTGTCCAAGGGAAAGGCCTGCGGGACCCAGGACGCCCTCCGCCAAGCCTGCTCCCAGGAGGTCCGTCGGTCTCAGTTCAGAGGGACACCATGTGCCCAGGGAACACAACAATACAAGAGGCGCGAGCTCTAAAATCAACAGACTTTCCTCGGGTGAGGATTAAACAGCAATAAAAATAACAGATGCAAGCTCCTCACGAACACAGGAGCCGGTGTGCACGGGGCGAGGCAGGGTTCACCTGTGAGTGCGGACGCTGTGGGACAACCGCGGCCCCGCCCCGCCCTGCCCTGTGCTTAGAACAGGGCACCACGCCTTCAAACAGGTAATTACACAGACTGTTTTCCCCCAGACTTGCAGGCAAGACTGGGACACAGTGTGCAGGTGAACCGGCCACTTTGAGAGCCAACTCCGCGTGGGTCCCCAGGTGACACGGGGATGAAAGGACGGGGCTCTTCCAGGCCATGGCTGCCGCGGGCGGGCGGGCGGGGCCTCGCTGGCCCTCCCTCTGCTGCACTGGGAGCCTCTCTTCATCCCTCTCCCTCCTGCGCCCAGAGACCCAGGCGGCTTCCCGCTACTTCTCCACAGAGCAAGGCCTCAACCGAGCGCTGGCAGGTCCAGGCCCAAAGCTCATGGTGCGAATCCTGAGGCACGGACGGCCCCATGCCTGTGTCCCAGGGAACCCACCACGGCCCCGTCACCCCGTGTCCCAGGGAACCCACCACGGTCCGGTCACCCCGTGTCCCAGAGAACCCGGGATGGCCCGGTCACCCAGCCAGGGGCCCTGCGTGCTGGCAAATCGCCTTCCCCGCGTCAGGAGCCACCACCCGGGAGGGATGGGGCGCACTTACCGCCTGGGCCCCCGAGGGCTCGGAGCTGGCGGGCTGCTGGAAAGAGGGCTTGGCCGCGCGGCAACGAGTGGGGGACGGTGGGGAGGCTGCGAGCTGGGACAGGGACAGCTGGAGGGAGGAAAGCTGGTGAGATCAGCCACTAAGTGACCTCGTGGAGGCCCCACCCACGTGGGCGCTGGGAAGGAGGCTCCAGGTGACCACGGAAGGCGGCGAGGCCCACGGCCTCCGCTCAGCAGCTGCTCTGGATCCCCAGCTGTTCCCATGTCCTTAGAATTATCGAGAGAGAGGGTTCTGTGACCTCTCCTGGCCCCTAGCATCTGAATAAACGCAGCCACAAGGACAAGCAGGTGGAGGGGAGGAAGGGCTGGGGACGCCAGCTTCTCGCATGTGGGCGGCAGGGTCCTCTCTGGGTTCCCCTCCGCCCCTGGGCTGACCATCGCCAAGGCCCTTCCGGTTCTGACCCCCATGCTCTTCTGACGTGAACGGGCCGGCGGGCTCTGGAGACAGACCACTGGGGGCGGACGGACTCTCCCTCTGCCACTTCATCACCGTGTGACCGTGAGCAGGTCACCTACTATCTCCCTCAGTCTCCTCATCTGTAAGATGGGGTGATCGTGGCACCTGCATCGCAGGACTGTCAGGGGCCTTACATGGAAGTCCACGGGAAGGGCTCAGCACCCGGCACCCAGCCGCCTCCCGCCCTGGAACGGGGTGTTTCCCATCAGCAGGGACAGCTGGCCACAGGCGTGCTGGCGCAGGAGGACGAGGGCATGACGAGGTGCCCAGGCATGGGTGAGGGTGCATGTGGCTGGGGGAACCCGGCAGCATCTTCAGGGAACAGAGAGCAGCCCTGGGAGTGAGAAGGCTGCCCCGTGGTCCCGGAGTGGACGTGCTGGAGGGACAGTGCTGGGACGGCCGCAGGGAAAACACAACATCACTCCCATCCAGGTTCCAAGCTGCATGCGACACAGCCAGCCCGCTCCCCGGGGACGGCCTCTGATCCCAAATTATTCGACTTTTCTAGAAAGTCACTTCCAGGTGATGCTGCCAGAGGGAGCCACCGGGAGGACAAGCCAACTCTGACCTCGTTCACAATCACACGATGACCAAGCAAGCCAGAGCCCTGCTGCCACGCAGGCACCTGCCACGGACAGGCCCGCCCACAGCCAGGTCTGCCCTCCGACAGGCAGCCGCCGACATGCTAGGCTGTGCCCATCTCCCCAGCACTGCGCGCGGCCGGGCACCCTGGGCAGCGGGCACGGCGGGCCCTCTCCTGGCAGGGCGGGGGGCAGAGGAGGGGTGAAGACCACACCTCGGCGTCTCAGGGAGAAAGTAAAGTTGTTCAGTCCTGACCACTCTCAACCCTCAGACACTGCCAGGCAGACACTTGTTTCAAAGGGAGAGAGTCCTTTGATGCCAACGGAGGGTCCCTGACAGGGCCCAGAAGCCACCCTGGCAGCCGCTGCACAGACGGGCAGGAGGGAGACGGGACCCCGGCCACCCCACGCAGCAGGCGGCCCCTCCCCTCCGCGCCCAGCCCCTTCCCAGCCCCAGAAAGCACAGGGGCATCGACTGTCCCTAAAGATGCAGAGACGCTTCGGCACCCGAGGCTGTGGCGGCAGGTTCTGGACTTACCCCTGGTCCCACAGGCGAGTTCTGGGAGGTGGCGAGCCCCTGGGGCGGCGGCACTGGCGGGCCTGGGAGGAAGCACAGGACCGGAGGGAGCCGTCAGCCTCAGCGGGGCCCAGGGCACCGGAGCCCCAACCCCTCAGGGCCTGAACGTCTCCCTCGGGTGCCCAGTGCCACTGGGGTTGGGCAGCAGTGACCAGGCCGTCCCCACGCTCAGCAGTTTAGAGACGTGGGCGTGCAGAGCACACACAGGGGGCTCCTCCCATCACTGCCTCGGAGAATGAACCCTGAGCTCCGGCTGCTGCGGCCCTCAGCGCTGGCACTGCAGGCCCCGCCTCCCGACTGCCCGCTAAGCACAGCCTGGCCGCAGAGCCCCACTCGCGGGTGGGTGGGCCTGTGAGCACCAGGAAGAGTCCAGGCCAGCCCTCACGCACTCCCCCTAGGAGGGGCTGAGAGTGTCCTTTGACCTTGAGGACCCCAGGCTGAGCGCCTGCGGAGCACTGTCCCGCACGGTGGTCAGTGGTCGGGAGGGGCAGGCGGCTGTGGGCATGTGCTGCTCCTGTCCCGTCCCCCAGCCGTGGGGGAATTGAGGCCGAGCAGCCCCGGGCCCTGGCCCTGCAGGCAGCCCCAGGCACTGCTGCGCGCTGGGCACCTGTTGCCTCTCAGTCATTTCACACGTGCTGCACGCCTTCGCCTGCCAGGGAGACACGCGTGGATTCCCCGAGGGCCACAGTCCTTCTCCAGCCCTTAGGGCCACACCCTGCCTCGCTCACTACAGTTCCCTTCAGACACCAGACTCTGCCCACTTCACGTGACCACCCCCGCTGGACTCAGGGCAGCCTGTACCCTGAAGTCACAGCCCACCCGTGGCGGCCTAGCCCTGCCTCCTGTGGCTCTGACCACTGCTCTGGCCTCGCCCTGCCTCTTCTGTGGCCTCTGCTGCTGAAGTCCCCACACAGCCACGCCTGAGCCGGGGAACAGGCAGCGCCATGAACGTGCATGAGCCAATGGGCCCCCCTTTTCCCTGCAGCCCCGAGTCCCCAGGACCCACAGCGCAGGGCAGGCCTCGGGACCTGCTGACCAGCCAGCCTCACCGCGGGGCCGTGACAGGAGGTGCCGCGCACTCCACAGAGCATGCCCGCGCCTCCCTGGACGCTCTCAGTCACCGAACAAAACCAACAGCAACGCAGCCTCTGTCCCCCAGGAGGAACTGAGCACACAAAGCGCCGCCCAGACCGTCCTGCTGTGCGCCCAGGCCGCCCGCCACAGCCCCTCCCAGCTGCTCCAGAACCCACCCAGAGAGGGCAGGCGGTGCGCCCAGGCTAAGGGCCGGGCTGGTGGGGAGTGGGGGGCAGGGACAGCCAGGGGCGCAGAGAGAGCTCCCTCAGCGCCATTCTTTTTATTTTTATTGATTTCAGATAGAGGGAGGGAGAGGGAGGGAGAGCAAGAAACATCAGTGATGAGAGGGAATCATGGACCGGCTGCCTCCTGCACGCCTCACACTGGGGATCGAGCCCACAACCCGGGCATGTGCCCTGCCCAGGAGTCGAACCGTGACCTCTCGGTTCCTAGGTCGACGCTCAGCCCCTGGGCCCCGCCAGCCGGCTGCCCACTCCCTCTAACAAGCCCCGTTCAGAGGCCCACGCCCCGACACACTGCAGCCGAGGAGCCTGAGCTTCCGAGATGCGCTCACTGGGGAGGGAGTCAGAGCGTCGCTGAGCGAGTGGAGTCGGCTTCCCAGGAAAATGCGCTTCAGCAGAAGCAAAGCACAGATGGGGTTCGGCCTGGGCCACTGTCCTCGAAGCAGCGGCCTCTCCCTCCCAGACCATCTGGAGCTCTGCCGGCAGCCCCGCCCCACCTCGCCCCGAACAGCAGAGGGAGCGGAGCAGCCAGCACACGGAGCCTTTGTTCTGCCCTCAATGAAGACAGTTCCGCAGGCGGGTCTCCGTAATGAGGAAAACGGCAGGAGGCTCCATTCTCCCTGGTAAGAGGGCCCGGCCCGGGAGCCCGCCCTCCACGGAGTCCGCTGAGCCCTCGGAGTGAAGTCTGAGCCTGTGGGGCGTTGGGCATTAAAGCCTCCGGTTCTCCCAGCGGGGTACCCGCCCTGTGTTCGTTAAGGCAATTCTTTACCCGAAAACGTACGCAACCTCAACTTCCCAGCGGGTAAACAGCACCCAGAACAGCCTCTGCTGGCCTAGCCCACTGGTGACCCAAGGGCACGAAGCCCCAATCCATGCCCAGGGAGGTGCGGGCGGAGGAAAACGCACCAAAACCACAACATCCCTCGCTTCACACCTGCTTTACGTCCCGCGTCGTGGGCAGTGAAGTCACTTCTCAAACCACACGGCCGCGCCCAGAGAACACGTGTCCCCCGAGAGCCCTCGCTTCAACCCCCCCGCACCCCGCACAGCCAGGATGACTGTCCGACTGGGAAGCCCACTTCCGCCAGAGACGACGGGCAACACGTGCAGTGACAGCTGGGCGCGCACAGGTCTGCGGCTGCACCGCTGGACACAGGGTCCATCAGGCCGCACAAGCCCCAGAAAGGGCAGCCGGGAGTCAAGGTCGGGGGGGCGGGGAGGGCGAGCACATGCAAAGGGGAGGCGGCGCTGGGTCAGCAGGAGCGGCTGCCGAGCACGTCAGAGCCGAGGGAGCGAGCCCCACGCGCCCTGCGCAGTGTCCGTCTGTCCCGTGAGCACGCCCCTGGCTGCACCCATGCTGCGCCCGGCTCACACCGAGGGAGGGGGCCCCAGGCCGCTGCCGCGCCACGCGGGCTCCTTCCTGGGCGACGTCAGGCGGCAGGGCCACCGCAGGCCCCGACTTCAGGTGAACACAGAGCAGGGACTCGGAGACGTGGTGGGCGGCTCAAGGGCCGAGGGCGGGGAAGCTGCGGTGCCCAGACAGGAGGGACGAAACCAGGGCCCAGGCCACGCTGAGCTGTGCGGACGGAGCCACCGCAGCCTGAGATGAAGGAGAAGCTCCCTTCCAGCTCGGCGAGTGCGGCCACGTCTGAGGACTGCATTTCCCTGACGCTGTCACTCCATCACTCTCCCGCCTGAAACCGCTGTCCACAGAGCTGAGCCTCCAGCCTGAGTGCGGCCGCTGGAGGCGCAGCCTCCTCTCGGCAACGGCCCTGCTGTCCTGCCCGGCGCCCCGCCCCCACCCTGCGTCTGCCTGGAGGGCACTGCAGTCAGGGGCGCATCCACCGGGCAAGAGCCAACACTCATGGGACGGCGCTTTGAAAGGGACAGAAAGGGCCTGAAAAGGTACAGAAACAGTGCAGGTGAGTGACACGGGGCAGGGCCTGCTCAGAGACCCCCTCCAGCTGCGGAGGGCGGAGGCGGCAGCACCCTCTCTGCAAACGCGGGGGGCCCCCGCAGCGCGGCCCTTCCTGCGCTGGCGGGCGGCGGCGGGCGTGGGCCCCGTGCTCCAGGCAGGTGAAGCCCTTCATCCCGATGCCAGCTGCTCCTGCGACCGTGCTTGGTGCTTGGGCACAGCTGTGCACTCGCGGGGGGGGGGCGGGGGGCAGAGCCTGCTGGGGGCGCTCGGGAGGGAGTGCTGCCCAGGGGCCAGATCCTGTCTGTGTGACTGAAGGCTCAGTTAATGGGGTGAGGGGGGGCAGGAGGGGGTCACCGTGGCTTAGTTCTTACAGCAGCTCAGATCAGTGGTTCTCAACCTCTGGCCCTTTAAATACAGTTCCTCATGGTGTGACCCAACCATAACATTATTGTCGTGGCTACTTCATCACTGTCACGTTGCTACTGTGATGAATCGTCATGTAAATATCTGATATGCAGGATGGTCTTAGGAGACCCCTGTGAAAGGGTCATTCAACCGCCAAAGGGGTCACGACCCACAGGTTGAAAACCGCTGAGCTCAGACCAAGGCAGGGTGGGGGCTCTGGTGATGTCACAGGACAGGGGACAGCAGCTGCCCCCAAAGGCCGGGAAGGGAGGGGCATCACTGCTAGAGACAGTTGCTACAACTCAAAGGAAGGTTGTGAAAACAGCTTCCCTGGGCAGGCCCTGGAAGTCGGGAGCTAATCAGCCGTTACCGTGCTCCGGACACAGCGCTCACCAGGCAAACCCATCCGAGAGGCCTCGTTCCTAATGGTTCGGGGTCAAAGTCACCCCCCCCCCCCCGACCCTGAGCACAGGACGGGGGTGAGCAACACCCGGGAAGAGACCAAGGGAGTGGGCTGGGGCTCCCATGCTGGGGGAGCTCGGAGCGTGGGCGGGGCTGAGGATCTGGGGCGCCCCAGGCTGGGGTCACTTGCAGGGCCGCACAGAATGCCATCCCCGGAGGCTCACTGCCACTCTCCAGCAAACGGCCCTCAGGCCCCTTTAAACCTTCGCTCGCTCCCTCCCATCTCCCACCGGCTCGCTTTCCTGGACGGAGAAGGACGCTGCCTGCTGGAGGGGCGTATTCTCAATGACCCCCTCCACATGGCTGTTCTACATCGATGAAGGGGACACAACGGAGTCCGACACCAGCAGAACATTCGAAAGCAAAATGTGGGTCAGGAAAGTTCCGAGCCAGGAAAAGTGGGGACGGAGCGCCCTCCAGTGGCTGCCTGCAGGCTCTCCTGATGCTGATGAGAGGGCCCCTGCTCCCTTGTCATTTATGGATGAAATAAAAAGGATAATTCACAGCAGGAAGCCCAAGCACCTCACTTACAGTGACAGCCGCACGTCATTAAGGCTTCCACGGGGCCCATAGACGCTGGTGAAATACTGGAGTCAGAAAAGTTTCCATCAGACGCAACCGCAATGGATGTTTAAGTCGGTTCCACTGGGTCTCGGGAGGCGTGTCTTCAAACGCTCGGAACCGGGTGAGGGCGGCGTGTGCAGCGGTGGGAAGGCAGCGATAAATCCCAATTAGATGAACCAGAGACCGGGTTCTCTCCACGCCGGTCTGCTGTCCCCAGTGGTCGCTGGAAAGCAGGTGACGTTGCCATATGTCTGCCGAGTCCGAGTCCCATCCTCCCAGCCCCCCGAGCCGGCTCCTGGTGCAGAACCACAGCGTGGACCCCACAGCGTGGGCCCGGCAGCTCTGCACCCAGAAAGGCAGCCTGCAGCTCGGTGCACCCACACCCGGCAGAGCAATGCCTGGGCCAGGAGAAGCGTGGCACTCCCGGGCCACCGCGTGGAGAAGCCCTCCCTGGGAGAAGCCAGCACTGGCAGCTCGAGGGCCAGGGGACAGGCTGTGGGAGGGACAGACAGGGACGATCACACGGAGTCCCCATGACGCAGCCATGCCTCACTTCAGCTCCACCTCCGCGTTTTTCTATCACACGAGCCCATAAAGTCCTCCCTCGTTCGAGCTACTTTGAGCCGAGTCTGCATCCCTTGTACCCGATAAAGACGCGACCAAAAGGACGCTGCCCATCAGGGATCTGCATGTTGTGACTGCGCTCAAGTCCAGCCACAACCTGTGCTTGTAACGCAAGGCGGCCTGGAACACAGGCACAGTCGCTTCCATGTCTCCGCGGCTCTCCCGACAGAGCGAAGATGAGTAGCCAAAGCAGGTCATCGGCCCACAAGCCCCACTGCCCCCTCCCTGGCCTGGCCTGACCCGCTGACCTCGGTCCAGACGCATCCCTCCCCGTGGATGGAGCTGGACACAGAGCTCCTGACACAGGCCAATCACATCAAGGTCCCTGCAAGTCAGACTCCCCTTTTTCACGAGATGGGTGTGTGGAGCCGCGTCACGCTCGCAGCAGTACTGCAGGGAGGAGAGCGCGCCCTGGCCGCCAGCCCCACACACGCAGCGTCCCGCCTTCACCATCCGCCCGAGGAAACCTGATTCCTTCCGCTACCTACACCTGTGTAACTTGTTCATTCATTGTCACTCTAAAGCCTGGCCCGTCACAGGCTCCCAGGAGGATCTGCTGGATGGATGGGGGAGGGGCAGGGGTCCCCCTGAGGAAATGCCCTCAGGCTCCTCGGAATGGCGAGCGTAACAGGCAGAAGCCACACCCACACGGAGTTGTCGTGGGTGGAAGCCACTTCCCTGGGCGGTTCCATGCCCAGGTGTGCACCCGGGGGCTGGGGTCAGAAGCATCCCCATGGAGACACACTGTGCTCGCTGCTGCCCGCTGGGCGCCTGGTCTCCAGGCCTGTGGGTGTGGGGTTAACGGACTGTGGTAGGAAGGGTCTGACCATGGCCGCTGCCCACGGGTGCTGCCAGCCAGGGGATAACAGCAGCGGCAGGACGAGGAGGACAATGCCGGGCGGCCCTGGGCCGGGGCGGGTCTTTGCTCACTGAATCCTCTGTGACCTCGCGTCCTTGGCCCACTTTTCTCTTCGGCTGCTTGTCTCCCTCGTATTGATCGGCGGCAGCTCTTTGGATCCTCTTCCGGCTTCCTCATCGCCTCGGTCTGCCAACTCACGTCCATGGCCGTGTCACCCTCAGTCCCAGGGCGCCTGTTCACTGTGTGGATGCGTCTCCTCACGCAGAATGTTCACGTTTAACAATCACAGCCCTCACACCACGCAAACACGCTCCGACCTGCCCTGCGGCTCCACAAGTTCTGATTCTCGTGTTTGGGTCCGTGACCCACCCCTCGTGGCAGCGGAGGAACCCGAGGGGCAGGGACGCCGCCCGGCGAGCTGGCCCACGCCCTTCGGAGCCTGCTGCCTCTCAACACCCTGCCCTGCACGCTGTCCGCAGTGACGTCCAAGGTCACCCTCACGCTGACCGTTACTGCGTCCCGCTGACCAACAGGCCACCTCGCGGAGGGCCCCCGCGGGCAGGCAGCTTGTTTCCAGGACCTCTCTTCTACCTCGCCTTCTAATTCTGGAGCTTCTAAAGGTTTGCTTGTTAATCCATCCAGAATGTATTGTGTCTACAACATGAAATTAGACTTCACGTTTCCCACATGGTGGCCCTGTGCACTGTTCACAGACTGGTGCCCCCAAATCGTCCACATCCAGGGAACTGAGGTGCGAACCGCTGGCCGGGATGCGGGATGGGGAGACGCTGGGTGCCCTGGGCCGCCCACGGCGATCACACAGTCTCCGAAATAAGAGGGAGTCAGGAGGGCAGAGTCAGGAGAGATTTGGGAATGCACCTGCTGCCTTGGAGACGGAGGGAGGGGCCAAGGCATGCAGGCGGCCCCCAGAGCTGGAGAAGGCAGGGGAGCCCCCAGTGCCACCACCCGGCGCCACCCCCAGGGCTGGGGAGGAGCCCCCTGACCAGTGCCCGGTCCCCACACGGGGCCAGAAACCAGCCAGACTGGTGACCCCACAGTTCAGGGCCACCGGGCAGAGCACACAGAGGGCCCGTCACAGCGTGGCGCTCACCAGCCTGCACCCAATGCCAGTCTAACCATCTCGGGGGGGACCTGAGCGGGCCAAACGCTTCCAAAGCCGGCGCGTCTGCCACGTGCAGAGCTGCTCGCGCCAGGACAGGAGACTCCCGTGTGGCCCCGTCAGCAACCCCGTGTCCTGTCCATCAACCAGTCTCTGCCCCTAAAAGCCCACGCCCGGAGGGGACCCAGCACCGGGACCCACGGCCGATAGAGACGGGCTGCCCTGTCACAGCACTGCCTTTGGGAAACGACTGCTGAGCTCCCCCCTCCTCGTGCCCATTCCCTTTCTAACTTTCCAACCACCGCAGTCTGGACATTCTTGCAGCTGGTGAGACCTGTAGAAGCTGAGAGCCTCAGGTTCCATGCTCATCAGTGGAGAGCGGCTACAGCAGTGGTTCTCAACCTTGGCTGCACATTAGAATCACCTGGGAATCTTGTTAAAATCCTAATTTCCGGGCCTCATCCTCCGGAAATTCTGTCTTTGTTACTAATGTTGCGACCCCCACCCCAGGTGATTTGAATGTGCAGCCAAGGTTGAGAACCACTGGGCATGGCGTTTGGACAGGTTCAAGCCTCGGACTAATGAGAGGGCACTGTCCTCTCGTGGCAAAGTCACATGCAAGTCCTAGTTTGGAAGGCAAAGCCCTCCCAGCACAATTACAGCCAAAGGCTATGGCTGTGAGCGTGACCGGATGGTCTGAACCTGTGGTGCCACGTGGCTGAGTGATGTGGGCTGCGGGAGGTGCAGCAAGTAAACAAAGCTTGACCAGGTGCATGTAATTGAGTAGATCAGCGGTTCTCAACCTGTAGGTTGCGACCCCTTTGGGAGTCGAACGACCCTTTCACAGGGGGCGCCTAAGACCATCGGGAAACACATATATAATTACATACTGTTTTTGTGATTAATCACTATGCTTTAATTATGTTCAATTTGTAACAATGAAAATACATCCTGCATATCACATATTTACATGACAATTCATAACAGTAGCAAAATTACAGTTATGAACTAGCAATGAAAATAATTCTATGGTTGGGGGTCACCACAACATGAGGAGCTGTATTGAAGGGTCGCAGCATTAGGAAGGTTGAGAACCACTGGAGTAGATTCAAAATCCATGAGAACGTTGTAAACATCCTGACCCGCCCTGGCTTTGCCTCCTGGAATCTGCTATAAAATAGACTCAGCTTGCAGGCCGTGGCGCTGTCTCTCTGATCAGAGGGCAGTGTCCCACCCAGCCCCAGCTTTGTTCTCTTGTCTGTCTTCTTCATCCTTCACCACCCCCCTCAGGCTCACCCCTGGCTGTGCCGGCGCGGCACACTCATCCGCGTGCGCCTCCCCACACTCCCTCCTGACCTCCGCGCCTCTCGCCATTAGACGCCGGCTGGGTGTCCTGGGGCGCAGAGCAGGAGGCCTGCACCAGACACACCACAGAAGGTGCCGAGCCCGCTGAGCACAAAACCGAGGCCACAGCTGCTCCTCAGACTCCTACTCGCACGTGGACCCATCACCCCCCGACCCACGGAGGGACAGGACGCCACTCTGGGTAACCTGCACTCCCTCCCTTAAAGCCACAGACAGGCCACAGCCTCCCTCTTGCACAGGCTCCAAGGAAGCAGAAAGCATTTTTAAAAACAACGAACTGACCTGGCTGGTGTGGCCCAGAGCTTGAGCATCGACCTATGAACAAGGAGGTCACAGTTTGATTCCCAGTCAGGGCACAGGCCTGGGTTGTGGGCTCAATCCCCAGTGGGGGTGTGCAGGAGGCAGCTGACCAATGATTCTCTCATCATTGATGCTTCTCTCTCTCTCCCTCTCCTGTCCTCTCTGAAATCAGTAAAAATGTATCTAAAAACAACAACAAACTCACAGCTGTGTTAACAACGCAGGACAGAGCTGGTGGTCCATGGCTTTGGCCCAGCTCTGGTTCTCGTGCCCGTGTTCGCAGGGCAGCCATGGGAGGCAGCCGGGAGCTGTCACCAACGGGACCTTCCCCGGGCCTTTAGCCGGGAGCTGCGAGTAGCTGAGCTCACTGGCAGCTGACACGTAGGGATAACAGCTGGCCACGCTGCCACACTCCACAAGATAGCACCCCATAATGCAGCACCCCGCCATGCCACATCCCCCCATGCAGCACCCGCAATGCAGCACCCCATAATGCAGCCCCCTGCAATGCTGCACCCTGCAATGCCGCACTTGCTGTAACAGTCAACCACGATTGAGACCACAGCCCCCCGTGAACCTCCCAATACCCGCCCTGCGCTGCCTGGCGCTTTCCCGGAGCAGCGGGAGGGCTGTGGGCCTGAAGTCAGCTTCCCGCCAACACTTACTTGCGGGGCACGTGGGCATCCTCCTCGAGGGCCGCCGCTCCGGCCGGTGCTGCCCTGGGGTGTCCGGGGGTCCGTCGGGGCTCAGCGAGAACTGGAACTGGATAGTCCCCGACTCCACCTGCCTCACCTGCAGGAGAGCAGAGAGCAGAGATGGCCAGGCCGCCGGCGTCCTTTATCACCCGCCCCACACGCCCAGGAGGCCGCGGGTCCCTAGCCTATAGCTACGTCAGCGTCTCAGAAGACCACGTGGTCGCAGAGCAGCCCTCACACCAGCAGTCCTCGCAGCACGTCTCCGTCTCAGCCCTGAACACGCATGTAAACTGACCGTGTAAACCTGAGGGACCGGGGCCCAGCACAGCAAGCACAGAGCAGCCCTCCACCCACCTCCCTCCTGCTGCCCCCTCGTGGCCAGTTTTCAAGAACATCATGTGACTGGAATTGATGGTGCCCGACGTTTAAGACCGGCTTCCTCCACTCACCACACCCAGGTGCTAGGGCAGTGATGGCGAACCTATGACACGCGTTTCAGAGGTGACACGCGAACTCATTTTTTTGGTTGATTTTTCTTTGTTAAATGGCATTTAAATATATAAAATAAATATCAAAAATATAAGTCTTTGTTTTACTATGGTTGCAAATATCAAAAAATTTCTACATGTGACATGGCACCGGAGTTAAGGTTTTTCAAAATGCTGACACGCCGAGCTCAAAAGGTTCGCCATCACTGTGCCAGGGTCTCGCCACCTCCGCTCCTTTGCACACCAAGGGGCACGCCACACGTGATGTACCAGCCACCCGCTCACGGCCACCGGGCTGCTGCAGCTTGGGGGACGGAGAGCGCTGCTGCGAACACTGGTGAGCACGCTCCTGTGCGACCACATCCTCACCGCCTGAGCCGAGCCCTGCCGAGGCTGCTGCGTGCCTGGTTCTGCAGGGGACGCCCGCTGCGACTGTCCGCGCTGTCCGTCCCGCTGACTGCACGCCATCCCTCCCAGCAGCACTCGCCCTGCTGTCGCCTCCTGACTCTCCTCACTGCGGCGGGAGCCCCCCTGTCCGCCCCCCCCACCCCCAATGCACTGCTCTTTCCACCACCGGCTTCTGTCTTCTAGCCCCTCCGCCTCCCGTACGCGTTCCAGAACCTGCTCTCTGCACCGACGAGAACCCTGCTGGGACCGACTGTAGTTCTCTGGATGTTCAGGACTCATCGCTGCCCGCTGATCAGCTCAGAGAGAGCGTCCATCTTCCCTATGCTGAGGCCTCCAACCCCCAGAGATGGCCCTTCTCTCCGATGACCGGTCCCCTGACCCCACAGAGTAACCGCGGTGACACAGGACGGGCAGCGAAGGGGGTTCAGTGTTCCGTGCCCAGAGCCGTATGCGTCTGTTAGGTTTCACTGAGGGAGGCCCGCATAAATAACCATTTTTAAATGCTGCCTCCCTCCTTTCACTGCCGGCATAGACACGTGGTGGGGTTTTTCAAGCGACCTCTTGCTTATCCTGCGACCTCCACAGCTGACTCATTCACTTCAGGGGGTGCTGTGGCCCCTGGGGGTCACCCCCGTAGACGAGCACGTGGCTGCAAACCAGAGCGGCGCTGGCCCTTCCTGCCCAGCCTGCGCGCCTTTACTTCCGTCTCCTCGCTGGCTGCACCGCGAGCTCCCAGGGCAGGACTGCTGCGCCCGTCCCCACCTGGGGGCGCTGGCCATCCTGCCATGACGTGTCGCCCACTAGAGGGCTCTGCGGACGCCCGGGGCAGGTGGCAGGTTCCCCCTGCGCCTGGTGTGCTCAGTGTCCACATAAATGGGGGTGAATCTCGCCCAGGCTTTTCTGCACCCGTCGCTGTGGCCCCGTGGCTCTCCGCCTTCAGGCTGTTATCACTGTGGCCCCCTCGCTCTCCGCCTTCAGGCTGTTCCTGGTGAGTCCCTGTGGTCCCCGTAGCTGCCTTCAGGCTGTTCCTGGTGAGTCCCTGTGGCCCCGTGGCTCTCTGCCTTCAGGCTGTTCCTGGTGAGTCCCTGTGGTCCCCTCGATCTCCGCCTTCAGGCTGTTCCTGGTGAGTCCCTGTGGTCCCCGTAGCTCTCCGCCTTCAGGCTGTTCCTGGTGAGTCGCTGTGGCCCCGTGGCTCTCCGCCTTCAGGCTGTTATCACTGTGGCCCCGTGGCTCTCCACCTTCAGGCTGTTCCTGGTGAGTCCCTGTGGCCCTGTGGCTCTCCGCCTTCAGGCTGTTCCTGGTGAGTCGCTGTGGCCCCGTGGCTCTCCGCCTTCAGGCTGTTCCTGGTGAGTCGCTGTGGCCCTGTGGCTCTCTGCCTTCAGGCTGTTCCTGGTGAGTCGCTGTGGCCCCGTGGCTCTCCGCCTTCAGGCTGTTCCTGGTGAGTCGCAGCTGGTGGTTTCCAGGCAGAAACAGCCTGCATTCCCGGGGCCACCCCACTTGCTTGCGGTGTCGTTCTTCCTGTTGCCGGTCCCAGTTTGCTGACATCTTGTTGAGCGTTTGCATCTGTGCTCCTGAGGGATAAGGGCCCACAGTTTCCTGTTGTTTCTGATCTTGGTGGAACGCGAGCCCCGTTACATGACTTGGGACGTGCTCCCATCCCTGCTATTGTCTGGGAGAGGACCCGGAATTGGTGTGGGCAGCTCTCTGAATGGTTAGGCTTCCCAGTGAATAGGCCTGGATATTTGTTTTTCCATTTTGTTAACGATGAATTCAATTTCTATACGAGTCACAAGTCTTCTCGGGTTGCCTGCGCCAGCTTGGGGTGCTCAGTCTGGCTTAGATGAACTGGCCCGTTTCATCGAAGTTGTCAAAGTTGTGGCCACGGAGCTGTTCAGAGTCTGTGTTCCCCTAACATCCTCCTGACACTGTGGTCCTGAGACAGCCCTCCTTTCGTTCCTTGCCGGGAGCCGGTCCATGCTTGCTGTTTCAAAGGACCTGGCATATATGGCATACTGTTCTTAATATGTTTGCTCACCTTCTTGGCACTATGTGTTTTAACCAAGGTCTCCTCTCTGAAAAAGGTTGTTTCCCCGGTAGGGATTTTCCCCTGAAGTTAGGGAGGGAATAAAACCTCTTAACTAAGTGCCAGGCGGGTAATTAATCACTTTAACTACGAACAATCATGCTTAAGCTACATAATCTTTACTCCCTGGAATGGAGATAAGAAACGTCCTAACCTTTGTAATAGAGATTGATAGGATTGAACCAACTGGTATAAATACAGATGTAACAAGACAGCAAGAGACAGAACTTAGAACACAGAACTAAGAAGACAGAACCTACACAGAACCTAGAGACAGAAGAACTTCGCTGGAGAGAGCATGGCAAAAGATCTTGGACTGAACCTGACTACAGAAATTGGCAAGAGAACCTGACTAGAACCTGGTGACTGAACCTGGCTGGAGAACCTGGACAGAACCTGGCTGGAGAACCTAGCGAGGGAACATGGCTACAGAACCTGGCTGGAGAACCTGGAGAACCTAGCAAGAGAACATGGACACAGAACCTGGCTGGAGATCCTAAGCAGAACCTCTCTGGAGATCCAGACCAAAACTTGGCTAGAGATCCTGGCTAGAGATCCTGGCTAGGCTGCTGATCAACTGAACACTGTCTCCGTGTCATTTCTTCTTCGCCGACTCCGTCCACACCTTTGGGGACCCCTGGACCTGCTGGGGCCGGACCCCAGCAGTTCCTGATGTTAGTCACCGGTGTCGCCCTGCTCTTTATTCAGTCTTGCTAGAGGCTTATCATGTTATTGGTCTTTTCATGTGATCAATTTCTACTCTCATCGATTTTCTCCATTCTATTATTTTTCTGTTTTCCATTTCATTGGTTTCTGCTCTTCTCTTTATTACTGATTTCTGCTTGCTCTAGGTTGATTTTGTTCTTCTCCTAGCTCCTAAAGGTGGAAGATTGGATTGTTGACTTGAGCCCTTTTCCTCTCAGCATCAGCACATGATGCTATCCATTCCCACGTAGACGCCCTTTAGCTGCATCCTACACACGTCAACGTGTTGCATTTTCATTTTTGTTCAGTTCCAGAATGTCATCTACTTCTTTCTTGAGGTTTCCTCTTGGACTATAATTATTTAGAAATGTGTTGTTTTAATTTCCAAGTGTTTGTGACTTTTTCATGTTACTGATTTCTAACTGGTCTCATTGTGATCACAGCACGCACCTCGTACCATTTCCTTCCTTCCCGTTTCTGCAGGTGGCTGTGCCCCAGGGCAGGTCTGGTTTGGTGAAGAGAATGTGCCCCCGCTGCCGGGGGCGGGCACCTGGCAAACGCCCTCAGGTCCACGCGGCTGCGGGCTCCACTCGCTCCTGGCCGGCCGGGACTTCCCATCTGCGGGCCTGGGGGTCACTCGGAGGAGGGCGGAGGCTCAGTGTCCCTGCGAGCGCCGTCCGCCTGTCAGTCCCGCGCGCTTCGCTTTGTGAATTCTGAAGCTCGGCCTTAGACACACACCCTCGGGGGCCCATGTCTTCTTGGTGAATTGGCTCTTTTATCCCATGTAATGTCTAATTCCTGGGAATTTCCTTTGCTCCTACATGACTGACTGATTGATCGATCTACTGAAAGCATTGGTCTATTTCTGCCTCCACTCCAGCTGTCTTTGGGCTGCGGTTGGCCTGCAGTCTGTCACCACCGACACCATCACATCTGAAGTGAGCCCTGGGAGACGGCGTGGTTTGGACGCGATGTTTTCATACAACCTGACGACTGGCCGGCTGGATTGGTGTGTAGACTCCTGCATCGTATGGAACGGCTGGGATGTGTGGGTTCAGGACGGCATTTCACTGGCAGTTCCTTTTGTGTGCGCTGCTGCCTTCCCTCTCCCGACTTTTGAATTCTCCCATTTCTGTCTGTTGGTTCCACTCGCTCTGTGGGTGCCTCCGGTGACTGCTCTGGGGTTACAATGTGAACACCTAACTTCTTACAGACCACTCGGCGCTGATGTCTATTCCCTCAAGTGGGGTGCAGCCGCCCTACACTGCACCGGTCCCTGACCTCCCCTTCACTTATAGCCCCACCGAGTGTCTCCATGTTCCTGCCAAAGCCTGTCACTGCTGTCACCTCTGCTTCAGCCTCACATTCAGAAACTCGGGGGGCGGGGGGGGGGGAACCTGTGCCATCATTTCGGCTGCTCTCTCCTCACTCCTGATGCGCCGAGTGTCCGTCTGGTAGGTTTCTCTCCCGTCTGAAAACTCCTGTAGTAACTCTTTTAGCGCGTGTCCACCACACCAAGTCTCGCGCTTCATTCATCTGAGAGCGCGGCTATTGCACCTCATTCCCGCTGGACTTTTGCTGGAAACAGAGCCCTGAGTTCTGGAGCCTTTCTGCTCCGCCTCCTCCTGGCTCATGTCCGTGCTCAGGAGGCCAGTCACACATGCTGCTATCTGTAAGGGTCGCACCATCTCCTGCCCCCCCACACCCCGCGCTCTGCAAGGCCCTGTCTTTACTTCTCAGCGGCCTGATGTGCTGTGTCTGGGTGTGAGTTACTTTGGTTGATCGCTGGGGTGCACGGAACTTCTTCGATCTGTAGGCTTATGTCTTCCACCAAAGTTGGGAAGTTCAGCCATTATTTCAAGCCTTTCTGCGCACTGCACTGTCTCCTCTACTGGAGACGCAAGGCCTAGCCCGGGCCCAGCCACGTTTCTCTCTGAGGTTCGGGTTAAAAACGACATTGACTTATCTTCAAGGGCACTGATTCTTCTGTCAGCTCCACTGAGCCCAGCTGGTGGCTTTTGCTTTGGCGATGTCTGTAGGCACTCAGACAGTCACAGCCGGGCGAGGGGGAGGGGGTGCTGCTGGCGTCAGTGAGTCAGGCCAGGCTGCCGCTGTCCCCCAATGGGCAGGGTAATCTGGCCCAAATGTCGCGGAGCTGGTGTGGAGAAACCCGTTGGAAGTGACATTCCTGGTCACACATGGCGGCATCTGACATACCTGTGCCCTAAGATAGCCAAACTCCCAAAGGGTACGTCCCAATAAAATTTACAGACCAAGAAGTGAAGGAAACGTGGTGGCAGGAGAAGGCTAACACTACATACAATAAATATTCACACACACACACACACACACACACACAGACTAAGAGAGGCTGAGGGAGGGGCCGGCCCTGGCGGGGGCATGCAGGGTGGCAATGTTATAACAAGGCCTCAACCAGACCACCTGGGCCTGCAGCAAGCTGTGTCCGTAATGAGCGGCATCCCTCACAGAGCAAACTGCACGCTCAGCGGTTCCCTGCTCGGCCCCAAAGCCGCACCCGAGTCATAAATAACAGCACTGACATCGTGTTTGCCGCTGGATCAGCACACAGGTGACACTGAACTAGCAGGACGGTCCCTGCACCTGGGAAAGATGAGACGCCAAGTCATGCCGAGACCAGCAGGCGTATTTCAGGAGCATCTACTGCCCAGCAGCATGCGCCCGCACGAGAGCCAGGGCAGCGGATGCCGCACGTCTGTCTCCCTGGTGGCTGCTACCCCCTGCAAGGCCACCGCTGGGCCGGGGGTGAGGCCCTCCACCCTTCACCGGGCCCGGCCCCTCTTTTCTGTGCTTTCTACACCGGGGTTCAGAGAAACCTTCATTTCAAAGGTGGGTTTTCCAGCCTCTTGCTGTGGCCCCAGCTTGTATGTGGCTGGAGAGAGCCAGAGGCCAGCGAGAGAGTGACAGGTCACAGGGCAAGCGGGCTGGACGCCAACCGCCTGGCGCCCTCCCCAGCACCCGCGCCACAGAGGCGTCCCCCTGGCACCACCTGTGACGAAGTCCTTTTCTAGGAGACACACAGCACAGAGTGGACCTCAGTGCCAGGTGTGTGCGAACACGAGTCGCAGCCCCGCAGGTCGCCCCGCAGACTGACCCGCGAGCCGCGACGTAAGGACCCACGGGAACTGGCCTCCGCGCTCACAGCGGATAGACGCAGCAACCACACACTCTTACGGGCACATCCATGACACGGACCACCTCTGCTCATGAAGCATCAGCAAACATAACTGTCAACTTCTGAAAACATACGAACTGGCCGGAAACTCACAGTTACGAAGCCTCACAGTTACCTCCTCGGAGCTCATGCTGGCGGGGGGCACCTTATAGGCCAGACAGTGCGCGGGGTTGGGCCGGATCCCGCCCTGGAGAGGCAGCGTCGCGCTCCCGGGGCCGGCGTCGGGCGGCGGCTTCCAGACGGCCCAGCGCACCGTGTGCATGCGCGCCAGGCTGGCCGAGGCGGAGGCGGGAGCCGCCTGCAACGGAACAGAGCACAGGCCGTGAGCTGTCCCCGGCCCACGTGGGGACCAAGGGGCTCTCACCGTGGAGGTAACTGGAGAGCAGGTGGCGAGGCCTGGGGGGGGGGGGTCGGGGGGGGGCAGGGAGTGGTCCCTGTCATTCAGGGAGGGAAAGCCCACATCCCGGAAGAACAAGCAAAGAATCAGCAAAGTGAGAACCCTCAGCGCCTCAACCCTCAGCACTGGGCTCTGCGCCCGCCTTGAGCGTCAGAGCCAAGAGCTGAGTCCGATCTGAGTGACCCCGGCCCAACCCTGACCCTCAGCATCAGCCTTCCCCCCTCAGTGGCCGGCGACAGAGTAAATGGTCCTGATCGGCCACTGGACACCAGGGAGCGGCCACAGTACACGAATGAAGAGCGACGGACACTAGTGAAGAGATGATTATAAATCCGTTGCCTTTTTTGTTGCTGTTAACCCTCACCCAAGGTTATTTTTCCATTGATTTTGAGAGAGAGTCGGAGAGGGAGAGAAACATCGATGTGAGAGACACATCCATTGGTTGCCTCCTGCACGCACCCGTTTGGGCTGGTGATCAAACCTGCAACCCAGCTACATGCCCTTGACTGGGAATCAAACCCACGACCCATCCGTGGTGTTCTAACCACTGGCCCACACCGGCCAGGGCCTAAATCCATTGCCTTCAAAAAATGAAAGTATTATAACTGTATTCAGAAAACTGTCCACTGAAACACTGCAGGGGTTCAATCACATCTAGGTGACTTTTGTAAACAGTCACCTATAAACCCAGTTTATTACAGAATCAAAAATAAAACCCAAGCTTCCAGGCTCCTTGTGTAACCCGCCTGGTCTAAGGTTTCACACCGGGGGATCCTGATGCCCAGTTTTCCAGCGCCGCAGTCCTTGGTGCTTTAGTTGTGATCAATACAGCTCTCTCCTGGGTGAAATCTCGCTCAGTTACACGTGTATCCATTTTCCCTCCTTTTGTTTCTAGCCTCTAACTAGAGAGGATGCTTAGTGAGCTATCGATCACTGCTTCACAAAGACTTCAGCCAATTAGGCCCGTGGCAGTTCAATGGCCCTTTATCAGCCTGCATGCTCTCCAAGCAGGCCAGGTGGCACCTGCAGGGGGACCCTCCCTCCCCAGCCCCTCCCCCACACTGAGGAGGAGCCAGCCAGGTGCCCGCCCACCAGGGGACTCCAGAGGCGGAGGTCAGATCTGTTACTCTACAGCGTCTTATCCTGCCAGACTCGCAAACTGAAAAGGAAAACCGAGCGGTGGACCGTTCCCATTTAGGCTTCAGTTGTAATAGCAAACAAGACACAAACGGCCAAGGAACAGCCTGGACCGTGAGCAGGTGTGTCGTGGGACAGGCGTGTCACAGCATTCACCGGCAAAGCGCACAGAAGACCCACCCCTGACCCGGGGACTGCCCCACCGGGCTCCCCGGGGTGTGCGGAGCGGTGGCCCAGCAGACGCGTCCACACCCTGACCCCTGGACTCAGCGGCTGGGCCTGACTTGGAAAAGGGTTCCGTGCAGATGGAATGGATGAAGTACTGCGAGATGAGGCCCCCAGGCCAATGCCGAGTGTCCATGGAAGAGCAGGACAGAGAGGCAGGGACACACGGAGGGAGGCCGCGTGCAGACAGGGGCAGAGGAGGGAGCCATGGAGGGCCCCAGCCAGTGTGCTCAGTGGTTAGAGCATCAGCCTGCGGCTCAAAGGGTCTCGGTTCAATTCCCAGACAAGGGCACGTTTCTTCGTTGTGGGTTCGATCCCCAGCCCCAGGCGGGCATGTGTGGGAGGCACCCAACCGTGTGTGTCTCATACCAGCAGCTGTTTCTCTCTCCTCACTCCTCCTTCCCTCCCTCCCCCTCACTCTACGATCAATGGAAAAAATATCCTCAGGTGAGGGTTACAAAAAAATGCAGGAAGTGGCCTCATTCTTCAGAATCACTACGGCTGGATAACGCGCGTTACTGCGATCCTGACCGAGCCGTGAACATGTGCTCCCCCAGCAGGTGCGTCAGCACAGACGCGGATACATTACCGTTACCCAGGAAGGGGTTTCCGAGCCACACCCACTGCTCTGACGGGAAAAGTCAGGGAACCGAGCGGGGCCTTACGTTGCCATCCACTCCCGAGGGGCTGCTTAGCACGTACTCCAGCTGGAAGACGACGGCGAAGGCGGGGTGATGGACCATCTCGGGGAGTCGGAGGTGGCTCCTCAGGACCAGAGCCTGGTTTCCAGAGCTGGTCAAGGACACAGGGCGGGGGCAGGGCGGGGGGGGGGGAGGCGTCAGGCATGGCTCCTGCAGCACGCCCCCCTCCCCCCTCCCTGGGCACTGCACTGAGCTCCTCTGTGTTGGCTCTTAGGGTGACTCCCTAAACCAGGGCCTTTTACTGGGGCCACAGTGAGCAGGTTTTAAACTGCCAGAGGTGTCGGAGGGTGGAGGGATGCGGCCAGGCTCTGGGAGGCTCCACCTCCAGGGCCGGCTCTGCCCACCTGGGGGGCAGCCCTTAGAGACGCCTGGTCCTGGGCTGGGAGGCACAGCTGAGCCCAGCAGCAGGATGACTGCCTCCTATTCTCCTCGTGCGAGACACTGAGCTCAGGGCGCACAGGGGAGCAGCAGCATCTGCACAGACTGCGGGCGGCCATCGTGGGGAGCGGCCCCCCTACTAATTCCAAAACTCACAGCACAAAACAGGACTTACCCAACCTCCCAACACCGAGGGTGGCTCCAAACGGATGGGGCTTAGCGAGAGGAAAGCAGGCCCCAGGGAAGGCCCGGTGGGTGAGGGCACACCTCACCGAGGGAACTTCACGTGGGTGCCCACTCCCTCCTCCCCGGGCGGGACTCAGGACCGGGAGAGTACCTGGACTTGGAGGAGGAGCCGACTTTCCTGCTGAAACTGGCCGAGCGCGTCAAGGCCACGTCCATCTCGGGCACCAGCACCATGACCTGCGGCCTCTGCACGAAGCCCAGACCGTTGTGCGCGCCGACACACAGACGCCGCTCGGCGATCTCCAGGGCGCTGCTGTCCAGCGGGCCGTCCCCCTGGGAAGAGCACAGGTCAGGCAGCAAGAGCCTGGGCGGGAGGGGAGAGGGGCGGAGGGGAGAGGGGGCTCACGGGAAGGCTCCTGGGGGAGACGTGAGCAGAGAGGAGAGCCGGGGACAACTTCAGGCCTTTGCAGGTCACGCGGTGCTTAGTGGCAGAGCCCCAGCAAAGAGCAGACACGTCAGCCAGTGGGAACTGGCTGGCCGAGGGCACTTCCTAGGCAGCGTGGGGTTCTCTCACAGTGTGACCTTCTCAAGCAATGCACCCTGATGCCCCGTCACCAAACTCTTGCCATTCCCAAGGCTGAGCCGCCATTCTCAAGATGCTCCAAACTGGCAGCCGGGACTCGGCGCCCCTCACAGGACCGGGTGCTCTGAGGCAGGGGAGCCCCACCTCCCACCCCCCAGGAGGCGGCGCCTGGAGGCAGGCCCTGAGGTGTCCCAGCCTCCGCCTGGGCAGGACGCGGCACAGGAGACGGGGAGCAGGAAGAGGGAGCCTATTCGGCAGTAAGTCATAAACCAATAACAACGGAATCGGAATCTGCCCCGGAGCGAGGGCTGGATATTAAAGTGTTTCATCTTAACAAAACCGTGCAGGCGCCGGAGCGAACAAGCAGGACGGCCCCGGGCTATTCCTGGCATTAAACTGGTGACCGCTGCCAACGATCCCCGGATTTCACTGTCCCTTCCCCAAGCGGAACGGCCCTAAACGCAGCCGTTAATCCTCGAGTAATGAAAACAAACGGCAGGACGGCGAGTGTGTGCGGGAGGAGCGGCGGCGAGGACGGGAAAGCACGCGGTGAGGTGGTTTGGGGGAGGCCCTGCGAGCTCTCCGCCTCGCACAGGCCCCCTGAGCGGGAGGCAGGGGCGGAGCCACACCAGGGCCCCGACTCCACCTCCGGCGCCGGTGGCGTTTCTCTTTCAGGTGGGACCCCGTTCTCTGGAGCTACGTTTTCAGGGACGGCCACCTGTTTCACGTGTGTGTGTGTGTGTGTGCATGTGTACACACGTGTGCAATTAGTAACTGCTGACGGCTGAGACAACAGCACAGCATGGGCACCACCGGACGAGACACTCTCGCTCTCAACGATAAATATTAACCCTTTTCGGTCCAACCTCGAGGCTGACTCGACAGACCAGGCGCTAGGAGCAGGTCCAACGTCAAGCAATAAGAACACTAAAAAGTTCAACATTCAATCCCGTCAATTAACTTGGACCAGACTGTTTGAATTCCAAAAATAACATTGGGCCACAAAGGGTTAAGGCCTACTGTGTGCAGACACGGCCACTCCCATCAGGTGCAGTGCTGAACCACGCGCCCGCCCTCCTGTGGACAGGCTGGAGTGGGGCTCTCAGAGGAGGCGCGGAGGGGAGGCGGGGCAGGCAGCTCTGCACTGAGACCCAAAGCCTGAGGGCTCCACAGGGATCTGGACGAGGCACGTCCCAGACAGGGAGCTGCGTGTCAGAGGCCCCGCTGGGCACGAGGCGTCACCCACAACCACGGGGCCGGAGTCGCCCACGACCACGAGGCAAGAGTCGCCCACGACTACATGGTGGGGGGGAGGCACCGTCATGTCCAGGCTGCCCCACACAGGCTCCAGGTGGAGTGGGCAGGAGGGGCTCACAGGCAGAAGAACCAGCAGGCGTGGGAAGGAGGAAGACGCTGGGCTTTCTGGCCGTCCCCTGGGAGGAGCCGAGCACCTCATGTCTGTGCTGAGCACACGGTTATCTCCGGAGCGTCCCCTGCTCGTCTGGGGACTAACTCACTTATCAGCTGGGGGCTGGCTCCAGAGGCATCAGAGTGAACGTTCATTAGCGTCACCATCAAAGTTACCACAACAGGCTTGGTCGCTCTCCAGCCACAAAGAGGGAAAGGACAGGCGCAGGCCCGTGGCAGGGTGCCCACCCCCGGGCGGCGTTAGGGGCCCTGCCCGCCCTGGCATCTTCCCGCCGGGACTGAGCTGCGCGGCCGGAGACAGTACCTCCCGGAAGTGGTCGCTGATCAGGAGTTCCAGAAGCTCCTCCTCGAATTTCTCAAGGGAGGGGTACAGCGTGAAGAACACCTCGTCCAGGTACCACGTGACCGGCTTCTGCAGGCGCGGCCTCCGGAGGGCGTCACCTGGAACAACCAGACCCCGTTCCTGGGGGCCAGACCAACCCGCAGGCGGAGGGGACAGCGCGCCCTTACCCGCGTCCCGGGGCGCCGGGAGGAGGCCGGGCGGCGGCTGCAGGCCGGACACCAGGAGGTTCTCGGGCAGCAGGTGGAAGGCGGGCTCCAGGGCCGGGTGCGGCTGCAGCGTGTACTGCAGGCTGCAGCTCTCGATGGCCGTCAGGTGCTTGCTTTCTGGGAAGAAAACACCCGTGAGAGCTGAAACCACAGGCTTCCCGTCAAGTCAGCCGATGCGCTGAGCGCCTGACACATCAGCTCCACCAACGGGAAGCGCCGTTTCCCAGGGAGATGGGAAGCACTGTTAGGGATGCTAGTTTTTAATGCGATGTAACGCTCTCTGGCTCACACCGCCCCCAGAGCGGGCAGCCCGGGCACGGCTCAGCCGGGCCACCCCTCAGTCTCAGCACCGCGCCCACAGAGCCCACGGAGCAGCCAGGCCAGCCCTCAGTCTCAGCACCGCGCCCACGGAGCCCACGGAGCAGCCGGGCCAGCCCTCAGTCTCAGCACCGCGCCCATGGAGCCCACGGAGCAGCTGGGCCATCCCTCAGTCTCAGCACCGCGCCCACGGAGCCCACGGAGCCCACGGAGCAGCCGGGCCAGCCCTCAGTCTCAGCACCGCGCCCACAGAGCCCACGGAGCAGCTGGGCCAGCCCTCAGTCTCAGCACCGCGCCCACAGAGCCCACGGAGTAGCTGGGCCATCCCTCAGTCTCAGCACCGCGCCCACGGAGCCCACGGAGCCGCCGGGCAGGCACTGAGGCAGGGCCTCCAAGACAGAGCCTGTCCTCAAAACCAGGCCGTCCTGAACTGAGGCTGAGACCCAGCCCACCGATCTCCACAGAACCCCGAGAACGGGGCCCAACCCCAGAGTTCAGGTGAGGCCGGGAGAGGGGAGGGACGGCCTGCAGGCGGCGAGTGAAGAGCGCAGACCAGCGGGAGCGGAGGACAGTCCCACCAGCAGGGCAGGGCGGGAGGCCCGCCAGCCTCACAGGCCCCGGCCGGGAGGGAGCGCAGACATCCCACCCAACGTGGGCCTCGCTCGGGCCTGATGTCACCCACGGACAGGCCCCCGCCCCCCTGGGATGCGCCATGTGACGCGTAAGAGCTACAGGGACCTGCTGCTCCCCTCAGAGGAGGGATGAGATGGCAACGCCAGTGTGCACATGTGTGAGGCCGCGTGGAGGCTGTATAAGAGGTCCTCGTCCTACGGGTACTCCGGGAGACAAAACGCAGCGGGGGAGAGAAGGCGCAAGGTGGAAGGTGCAGGGAAGCTCACAGGAGGGGACTGGGGCAGCGCGGGGCGGGGGGGGGGGGGGGGGGGGCTGCGGAGGAGGAGCTGCCAGCATACTGGCCGAGAATCTTACGTTCGATGGGGTCCTGCAGCTGGGGGTGCAGCAGGGCTCTTGGGGTGCCGTGATACAGTCTCAACCTGCAAAACAAGAGCCCAAAACACATCTACATGGGCCTGCAGCTCTAGCCCCCAAACATCAGCTGTTCTTTGAAAGGAGGGTGTGTGGGCCCAACACCGTCCACCTCCTGGGCCTTCCGAGTGCCATGCGCCTGCGCCCCTGGGGGAACAGACCCTGGAGAGCACTGATCCCTGCACCCAGCTCCCAGCCCGTGGGCCCAGCTCCCAGCCCGTGGGCCCAGCTCCCAGCTCCCAGCCCGTGCGCCCAGCTCCCAGCTCCCAGCTCCCAGCCCGTGGGCCCAGCTCCCAGCTCCCAGCTCCCAGCTCCCAGCTCCCAGCCCGTGCGCCCAGCTCCCAGCTCCCAGCCCGTGCGCCCAGCTCCCAGCTCCCAGCCCGTGGGCCCAGCTCCCAGCTCCCAGCTCCCAGCTCCCAGCCCGTGCGCCCAGCTCCCAGCTCCCAGCTCCCAGCTCCCAGCTCCCAGCTCCCAGCCTGTGGGCCCAGCTCCCAGCTCCCAGCTCCCAGCTCCCAGCCTGTGGGCCCAGCTCCCAGCCCCCAGCCCGTGGGCCCAGCTCTCAGCCCCCAGCCCGTGCGCTCAGCTCCCAGCTCCCAGCTCGTGGGCCCAGCTCCCAGCCCGTGCGCCCAGCTCCCAGCCCCCAGCCCCCAGCTCCCAGCTCCCAGCTCCCAGCTCCCAGCCCCCAGCTCCCAGCTCCCAGCTCCCAGCCCGTGCGCCCAGCTCCCAGCTCCCAGCCCATGCGCCCAGCTCCCAGCTCCCAGCCCGTGGGCCCAGCTCCCAGCTCCCAGCTCCCAGCTCCCAGCCCGTGCGCCCAGCTCCCAGCTCCCAGCTCCCAGCTCCCAGCTCCCAGCCTGTGGGCCCAGCTCCCAGCTCCCAGCTCCCAGCTCCCAGCCTGTGGGCCCAGCTCCCAGCCCCCAGCCCGTGGGCCCAGCTCCCAGCCCCCAGCCCGTGGGCCCAGCTCTCAGCCCCCAGCCCGTGCGCTCAGCTCCCAGCTCCCAGCTCGTGGGCCCAGCTCCCAGCCCGTGCGCCCAGCTCCCAGCCCCCAGCCCGTGCACCCAGCTCCCAGCCCCCAGCCCGTGTGCCCAGCTCCCAGCCCCCAGCCCGTGGGCCCAGCTCCCAGCCCCCAGCCTGTGCGCCCAGCTCCCAGCCCATGGGCCCAGCACCTGCAGTGCAGCCCGAGCCCCTGGGCCCAGGAAGCCTCTCAGGGAAACCCATAGTGACTGAAACACCCCCGGAAAGACAGCAGCTGAGCCCCTCCCATGGTTGTCCATGTAGGATGGCAGCTCTCAGCCAGGAACGATTCTGTCCCCCAAGGCACAGTCGGTAATGCCTGCAGACATTTTTTGTCATTACCACAGGGGAGGTGCTCCTGGCACCTGGTGGGTGGAGGCCGGGGACATGCTGGGCATCCTACACTCACAGGACAACCCACGGCAAAGGCCTCTCCGGCCCAAAAGGTCAGCGGCCGTGGCTGAGAGAGGGACCCAGGGGGCAATGCAGCTTCGGCTGGGCTGGAATGGTTACAAGCAGAACCACCAGTGTCCCCTGTGCACGGGACGCGGTTTCACCAGCACAGGGACGAGGAAAAGCCAAGGACAGGGACCCAAGGACCGGACGTGAGGATGCGAGGATGTACCGTCTGTCCTGGGAGGCCGTGCGGGGAGACTCCGTTTTGCTGCTGAAGATACGAAGAATCCCAAACCCACACGACAGGCTCTGGAGGGTCCCGTCCCGTCTCCTGCCGTGGGCGACCACTTCCACCACGGCCACGATGCTCGGGTGGCTCAAGGACGTGTGGAAGTACACGGGCTGCAAACAGAAGTCAGAAGCCAGGTGAGGGCCGGACGCCGCCACCTGCAGAGCAGGACCCAGAGGGCGCAGCTGGGCTCCCTGCCGCCTTGGCAGCGCCACGTAAACCCACACACGGCCCTGCAGCGCCGTGTCCCTTCCCAGGCGCCCGAGACAATCGGCACAGTCACGCGGCCCCCGCGAGTCCCGGCTCCTCACCCCCAGCGCCCACCACCCAGGACACCCGCCCTTTGCTTTTGCTCAGGGAATTTTCCATCCAAAAAATGCCAACAGACACCAGGCCCTGCAGGGAAGAGGCTGGGGGCCACGCACCCCCCAGGGCAGGACCCCAGGGGCACTAAGGACAGGACAAGCCCTGCAGGGAAGAGGCTGGGGCCACGCACCGCCCGGGGCAGGACCCCAGGGGCACTAAGGACAGGACAAGCCCTGCAGGGAAGAAAGGGGCTGGGGCCACGCACCCCCCAGGGCAGGACCCCAGGGGCACTAAGGACAGGACAGGCCCTGCAGGGAAGAAAGGGGCTGGGGGTCACGCATCCCCCAGGGTAGGACCCCAGGGGCACTAAAGACAAGACAGGCCCTGCCGCACATATGCACCATGGCATGTAACTCGCTGCACAGACTCCAGTCAGCCTGCCCGTGTGCCGAGCCCTGCCACACGTACGCACCATGGCATGTAACTCGCTGCACAGACTCCAGTCAGCCTGCCAGTGCACCGAGCCCCACCGTGTGGGAAGGACTCTGAAGCTGGCCTGAACCAATTCTGTCACTAGCACATTTCGAGGTGCTAGGTGGCTATCCCAGCACAGGGCCCACTAACACCCTTTTCACAAAAAATCGCGTAGAGAGCATTTTCTTACACGATCGTTTGGGGCCTGAGCCAAGCAGACGATGCTCAAATGGCTCTTGGGAGGTTTCCACAGGTAACTTCCCTCCTTCCCGCTCTGGCCCCCGGGGTCAGCCCCGTCTCTCCCTCGGGGAATGAGAGCGCCTCTCGCTGCTGCTGCTCCTTCTGTCTCGTGAAGCCGATGCAGTTGCTTTTATTTAAAACTAACTGAGTCACAGACACAGAAGTCGGAGGCGGAGGAGTGTGACCAACTGGGACATGCATCACAGGGCCGGGCTGTGGCTCTGGCCTCCGTGTCCCTGAAGCCCAGCGTCCGTGCTGGGGTCCCAGCTGAGCGCAGAGGTCAGGCCAGGCGAGGCAGGCAGGGCCCAGCAGGGGATTTAAACCCAGACTAATCCTGTAACGAGCCGTCACCGCGTGTCGCCCAGGAAGCATTTACTGCAACCATAGACTGTCAGCCGGGATAACGGAGAGACACATTAACACATCAGCCGGAGGTATAAATCGTTATTCTATTTTCTTTTACTGCAAAATGATGAAATAATAGCCACTTACCGCGGACAGGTGGCTGGACCGGGGAGAACTATGTTTGTTTCCAAGATGCGGGACCTGGTCTAAGGCCCCAGCGCCAGCCGTGCTGGTCACCGTCCCGCCTGTTACGTGTGCCCTGTGCTCACGGCGTCAGGGACACCACCGCCCACTCTCCTGTCAGCAGCGCGACCCCCGCGCCGGAGGTCACCGTGGCCTGCCCGCCGCAGCGCTGGGCCCGCCTCCCGGGCCCGCCCCAAGCACAGGCTCAGGGCTGCGGCCTCTCCCTGTCAGTCACTCACACCGAACCTGATGCTGAGACAAAACGAGCAGAGCGGCCACACCGGCCCTCGGACCCAGGGACTCCGCTCTGAGCGGGAGGTGGCGCGGGAGCGCGGCGCGTGGGACAACACGAGGTCCTGGGTTCGCCCCGCTGCCCATCGGTCAGGACAGACGCGCTTTCCAAACACCATTCACCGACCCTGCGGGCTGGGCACGGCGCCGTGCGAAAGGCTTCGTACGGGCCCGGGAAAGCCGGTGCCGCCTGCAGGGGCCCAAGGTCCCAGGGCGAGGCCAGGCGGGCAAGCTGCTCAGGACTGACCCGGGGCTCGGGGGGTAAAAGCCGCCTGGGATGCACACGGCGCGGCTCCGCAGCTGCCCTCCCGTCGCCCGCCAAGGGTCCAGAGGCTCACGCGGTGCTTAGGCCCAGGCCACCTGGGACGGTGCACGAACGCCACGCGTGCACCGAGAGGCAAATCTGCCCGTCGACTGAAATGACAGGATGGAGGTTCGCGTCAAGCCCATCAGACTTCCTGCCAGAGGAGGCCCGCAGTGCGGTGCCCACGCCCCCACCTCGCACCGCCCTCTTCCACAGGAGACAGGTCCTGCCCAATAAGCAGATGAATAAACCACAGACATGCTCCTATCGCTGCCTCACCTTCAGACACACTGACCCACGTGCCTCAGGCCACGTTTCCACATCTCACCCCGTGGCAGTGACGGGGCCTCTGAGGACGAGCTTCCGGAGAGGCCACCAGCAGAGGCGCGGCGGCGGCAAGGCCAGGGAGAGGAGCGGTGCCGGCCGGAGCCTTCTTCACCGGCCTGAGCCAGAGCATCACCAGGAAGGCAGGTCGCTCACGGCGCTTCCTGCCCTCACCTGCCGCTCGGCCTCCCACTGGGCTCGGACCCTGGACCTCCAGGCACAGGCGCTGCTCAGTCCTCTCCTCCGGGAAACGCACTCCCCGATGACAAAGCTGAGGCGTCCCCCACCTGGTGGGCTCACCCTGACCCCAGCGAGCAGCACGGCCAGGAGACGGCCCCTCCCAGGGAGCTGCCAGGCCCTGCGTGTCGCCGTCCAGGGTGACAGTGACTGCAGCCAGGCAAAGTGACCCCGCGCCACCTCGTCCACCTTGTCCAACCAGCTCCTGTCCTTCTCACAGCAACCCTGCAGAGCAGTCAGGACAGCCCGCTCCGGCCAAAGGACACCTCCCGGCGGACACAGGAAAGTAAGCAAACCCCCAGGACACGGTGAACACACCCCAGCTCACAGGCTGGCCTCTGCACTGCCCCCCACGCCAGGCAGTTGGACCACCACACAACGAAGTCCCAACAGTGTCCCCCTTCCTGGCTCAGGGCCCCCGCCTGGAGGATAGCGGCTGTCCCCAGGGACACGACAGTCAGTCACACAGCCGCTCTCCTGGACACATGCTGGCTCCCAACTGCCTCCGCGCTGCACGGGGACGGCGCAGGGTCCACGACAGGCGGCGAGGCAGCGGGAGAAGGCAGCCCTGGAGTTTCACGGGGTCCCCCGGCCTCCCTACAGCCGCTGCTAACGGGGACATGGCCGGCTCTCACTGGCGAGGAACACAGCGTCGGCATCCCCTGGGGGGTGGGAAGTGGAAGCAGCCCATCACCTGTGACCGGAGAGAGGTGATGTCCTGTGACCTCAGCACCCAGGGCTGAGGTGGGCTGGGGTGGGAGGACCCCCAAGAGGGTCTCCCCGTGTGTGGAGATCCCCTAGGCTTCCTGCCCAGTCGCCCCCAGAAGCTGAAGAAGGAAAACCAGCCTGTCCCCGAGGATGGGCGTGGTCGTCAGAGAAGGATTTAAGGGGAACCGAGTCCATCGGAGAGAAAATGGAGGGGCTGTGCGGTACTCTGACCCCCCGTTATTTTTTTAATATGTTTTTATTGATTTCAGAGAGGAAGAGAGAGGAAGAGAGGGGCAGAGAGAGAGAAACATTAATGATGAGCGAGAACCATGGATCGGCTGCCTCCTCTCCACTGGGGATCGAGCCCGCAACCCGGGCATGTGCCCTTGGCTAGAATCAAACCTGGACCCTTCAGTCCAAAGGCCGACGGTCTATCCACTGAGCCACACCAGCCAGGGCAGCCCCCAGCTATTTTTTAAAGACACCTGCTGAGAGGCGGCTGAGGCGTCTCTCGGGAGCGAAGGGCAGTGCTCCTCAAAGGCGTCTCGGAGCAGAGCCCACAGCTGCTCCGAGCTGGGGGCCGGGCGCCCGGCGTCATCACTCACAGACAAGCTCCCGGCTCAGGGTCAAGGCTGAGGAATGAACAGCGGCCTCTCCAGGGCCGCCTCTCACACGGACACCTCAGCAAAGCCAAGCACACGAGGACGACGCCCACACCCACGTCTGGGGCCAGCGAAGCCCAGCTGGACCGGCCGCGGGCAGCCGCACCCTCACACCAGACCCCCAGCTGCCGGGTAAGCAGACACACAGGCAGCCAGTGGAGTCAGAGCGCGCCACCCGATTCCCAAACCCCTAAAAGGGCAGCTTGGACTCATCTGTGTCCACGGGGGGCAGGCAGGGCACCCCCAGAGTGAGCAGCGCCGGCCCCCCCTGCATGCCAGCGCCCTCAGGGACAGCTCACTGTGCAGATGTCACATGCACACGGGTGCACACGGGGAGGGGCCTTCTCTGGAGCTAAAGAACTTGAACAAAACCCCTTTTTCTGTATTCTGACCGTCAAGGCAACAAAAGCAAGTGCTGGACGTGAAGACTTTCCCGGGCACCAGCGGCCTCTGCTGCTCGCCGAGGGCACAGCACTGGAGAGCCGCCTTCCCGGGGCCATCGCCATCCCGTGGCTGGGCATCGCCTCCGGCCCACACGTCCCCGGCGCGTTCTCCTCCTCGGCAACTCCGAGGCCACGGAGCGATTCCCCAGAGGCGCCAGGACTAAGTCCGCGCCAGCCCCTGCCCTTCCCCACCCCCAGCTCAGTAAACAGGATGCAAACGGCGCCAGCGGGGCTGGAGCCCACGCTGCTCCCGGGCTCGGAACCGGAGCCGGATCTCGGTTTTCCTACCTGGGACTGGAGCCACGAGCTGATGCAGTGACATCTGAAGCGTCACTCAATGGGAGTGACAACAGAAGCCCCCCCCCCCCCACGATGCTGAGCCCTGGGCAGCGTGGAGGGCAGGGTGTCACTCAGAAGGCTCCTCCTGCCTGTGCCCTGATGCTGCAGGGTCCCCACAGCGCCTCACGGTGGGCGGCCTGGCAGCCGAGTGCCACCCACGGGGACAGTCCCAGCCTCTCCAAGGGGAGGACAGCAGAGGGACTCATCCCTGTGCTTGCCCCAGAGCAGGGTCCCACCCCACGACCCTGGCAACCTCCTCCACGTGGACGCACGGGGTAGAGGCCACAGGACAGCCACCGCGGTCAGCGCAGCCGCACAGCCAGCTCACCAGGTCCACCTGCTTGCACACAGGCAGGCACGCGGGCACGCACAAACGCGGGCACACATGGCCTCGTGGCCTGCTGGGTTACTCTTTGGGGGAACAAAATACCCCGCATGCTGGGGGACGAGACCCCACGCGCCTGCCTCCCCCCCTCCCCCCCCCCCACTGCTCTAGCCAGCGCAGCGCTCTCACCTGTTTAGGGCGCTTGGCCTCCACACAAGACTTTGTTTGGAAACGGTGCCACCCTCAGACCAGTGCTGCGAGCCGGGGCTGCGGCCATAGGCCTTCCCGGGCCCGAGAGGCGCTGTTCGTGTCCCGGGTCGGGGGTCCCCTGCCCGCCCCAGGGCCCCAACACCTGCTGCCCGCGTCACGCCTACCTCATTCAGGACGATCCTGGACGGCTGCCTGGGGAGCGGCTCCACGGGCCTCGCTGCGCTCCTCCACGTCCTCCCGAAGAAGTGGCGGTAGGCGACATCGAAGAGAGACACGCGGAGATGGCACCCCAGCTCCGACAGCACCTCCAGCGCGCCCTGTGAGACAGGGTGCGCCCGGAGGTTCTCAGCGGCCGAGCCTCCCGCAGGTGCTGACGACCATCCAGGTAAGCCGGCCGTCAGCGTCCTCCGGGGTTTAGGCACCGATTTCCCTCCCGGGAACCACCTCTCAGAACACGAAGCCCCAGGCCCGGCCCCGCCTGGAGACCCATAGAGCCCAGGAGACGCAGGCGGGGGCTGCGGGGACCGGTGCCTCTGGCACCCGGTGCAGCTGAAGAAGCCCCGGGACATCACGGACCCCGGTCGGCCACGCCTGAAGCTTGGAGTAACCAAGGGTCTGCCTGCCGTGTGAGGAACGGTCGCCTCCAGCTTAGGCTATTTGGGTGGGTTTTATCGTGCACAGCCCAGTGAACCCTTCCTGATGTAAGCACAGGGTGGTGTCAGCAAAGGAGAGGCAAAGCTGTGAGGACTGCGACGTCACAGCCAGAGACTGTAAACACAGGCCCTTTGCGGCGGGGCTCAGTGGTGAGCGCTGACCTATGAACCAGGAGGTCAGGGTTCCATTCCTGGTCAGGGCACAGGCCTGGGTTTCGGGCTTGATCCCCAGTAGGGGGCGTGCAGGAGGCAGCCGATCCACGATTCTCTCTCATCATTGATGTTTCTCTCTCCCCCTCTCCCTTCCTCTCTGAAGTCAATAAGAATATATTTTAAAAAGGAAGGAAGAGCCCAGGGAACCAGATCGCCCGTTTTAACGCCGCTGCACTGCGGGCAGAAGCAGGCTCTCCCAGGGTCCAAAGTGCTGACCGAGCCGCTGAGTCGTGGATTCTCTTTGCTGATGGGCCACTTTGCCTCCCAATATTGCCAAGGCCCAAGGTAATGGGCACAGTGGTGAGACACAGATAAATAAGTGGAAATCAATAGCCTCCCAGCTGAGCAGTAACGCATGTTTGACAATAAATAGCAAATTTCTTTACCTGCTTAATTAGCGGCCCATCGAGCCACTTCAGGACGCACTGAAACGCCGTCGAGTCCTTTAAGGGCTGGCGTGCTCTGTGTGGGTGGGGAGGCACCAGCATGTTCTGGTCAAAAATCTGGTGCCAGTCACGCATCCTGCCGGTCTGCGGGTCACTGGCCTTGGGGGTCACCTGCACCATCCCTGTTCAAAGAAATAAAAGAGTTGTAAGTACCACAGTGCTCAGAGCAGTTCTAAAAGTTCCCTACCTCCCACTGTATCCGAGGACCCAGCATCCCCTAACCCGCCTCTGCAGCCCCGCCCTCCACACCCAGGGTGAGACTGGCACCCACGCTGCCTTCCCCTGGCAAGCGTGCCTGTCTCGCTCCAAAGAACCGCGCTGCCACTCCACTCGGGAGCCCATCAGAGAAGGACTCTCCGGGCCTCGGAGACTGGCCCAGGGACAGACACGCAGGGCCACTCCATGCAGCTGCGGAGGCTGAGCCCGCACAGGGCCCAGGCCTCGGGGACCGGGCTGTCTCCGCCGGGACTGGGGAGCGTGGCCCACTCAGGGCCCCAAGATGCAAATCTCAGAGCTTCTGCCGGGTCTGCTGAGTGAGACCTTCCTGCAGCCCCTGGAGCAGAGGCGCTCCCCAGAAGCTGCTGGGCCAGTGCCGGAGCCCCACCTTCACACACACAAGAAGCAGGCAGAGCAGACACCAGGCAAGACCAGTGGGTCCGAGCACCAGCGGGACCCAGCCCCCCAGGCGGCCCCGCACGGGCGTAGTCTCTCGCTGCTGAAGCCAGCTGGGGGCAGTTTGAGCGTCACCTGGCTCACCAAGGGTGTCTGTGCCTCCCAGCCGGACGGGTCCACCCTTCCTGAGGGTCTTTTCAGCCTACAGAGGCCGGACTCTGTACACTGAATGGTGGGGAGAAGAGGCAGCAGGCTGGTCCCCAAGCCAGCAGCTCTGTACATGTGGTTCCCCAAACCCTGGGGTTCCCCAGGCCAATCAAGGGCTCCGCGAGGTCAAAGCCATTCTCACATATCCAGGTGAGGCCTGCCTTTTTCACTGTATGGACATTTTCGCGGACGGAGCAAGGCCATGGTGGGCGCTGCGGGACTCAGCCCGCCCCGCGGCCAGGGGAGCAAGCCCTCCCCACTCACAGCGAGGTGACGGCTTCACTTACGGACGTCCTTGGTGACACTGTGAAAAGGACACATTTCTCTCACCTCGGCCTGGAGTACATGCATTTCTAGCATTCTGTGATGCTAGAAGGGGAAATACAAACTGGGCCGCATTCAGCACGGCCAGGGGTGATCCTGAGGGGCGCAGTGAAGGACGGAGCAGACAGACAAGGATAAAGCTGGGGCTGTGTGGGACGCTGCTCTCGAATGGAGAGACGGCGCCACAGCCTGCAAGCCGAGTCTTTATTTTATAGCAGATTCCACGAGGCAAAGTCAGGGCGGGTCAAGATGTTTACAATGTTCTCGCGGGTTTCGAATCCACTCAGTTACCTGCACCTGAACTCTATCAAGCTTTGTTTTGGCAGCACTGGCTGCACCTCCCGCAGCCCATATCACTCAGCCACATGGAGCCACAGGTTCGGACCATAAGGTCAGGCTCACAGCCACAGCCTTTGGCCATAATTGTGCTTGGAGGGCTGGGACTTGCACCTGGCTTTGCCACGAGAGGACCATGTCCTCTCGTTAGTCCAAGGCTTGAACCTGTCCAAACGCTGTGGCCGCTCTCCACAATCAACCAAAACTGCCAAAATGAAGGCAGAGGTCACCCGACCGGTGAACCCTGCTCTGATGATTCAGGCTGCGAGCCGAACCAGCGCTTTGTTCCTAGGGCAACACTTACACTGAAAAGAACTGCTGAGAAACGAAACACGCTTATTCAGACTTGTACTTGGCAGGTACCTCTCCAACGTGAACAAAATGGGCCTGTCACTTCAAGGAAGACTCGTAATCAAAATCAAGTTCCAGGCAAAGAGCAGAACTGGGAAAGTCAGTTTCCTCTCCGTGAGCCTGGCAGCTCATGCCCTCAGACTTCTCGGAGGTGCGTAGTGCCGCAGCGAAAGCCATCTTTTGAAATTGCATGATTAGATGTGTCAGTATTTGGAAGAACCACTTAACTCAGAGCCTGTTCTTTCCGGGGGAACTTGCAGAACGACAGAAACTCCTGCAGGAGGAGCGGGCCCACCCAGCCTGCGGGACGGACCGAGGGACTTCCGTGTAGCAGGATGAGCAGCTCACTGGCAGCTGCAGGCTCAACGCTGCGTCTGTCCGTCACTTGCAGATGTGACGCCTGTTAAGGACCTGGGCGGGGAGGTCATCCTGGATTAGCCAGGTGGGCCCCTCATGGTCAGAAGGGTCCTAACAAGAGAGGCCAGTGGGCTCCAAGCAAAGGCCGGGGGACAAGGACGCAGGGAGCGATGTGGAGGGGCCTCTAGCAGCTGGAAAAGGCGAGGAAATGGATTCCCCCGGAGCCTCCAGGAGGAACCAGCCCGGCCACCCCGGCTGTAGCCCAGGGTGACAGGCCTTGGACTCCTGGCCTCCAGAACTGGGAGAGAATGAATCTGCGGCTTGAAGCCACCATCTGTGGTAACGTTACAGAAGCCACGGGACTCAGGCGTCCACACCCTGTGAGCAGAAGGGCCCCGACCAGTAGCCGGTGGGAGAGCCAGCTGCCCAGGAGGCCTCCTGGCGGCCCCAGGGTCCAGCCCTGAGCCCACGTGGTCCCTGTGCTTCCCTGGGTCACGGTACTTGCCACTTGCCCTCGTCTCACCAGCTCACTGGCCAGCTGCTTACAGAGGGGGCCTGCATTCCTGTGTCCTTGAGACCCGGCCACCATCAGAACTCAAACATTCCCAAGAGCAAATGGAAGTTTCCATAAAGCTGACTCCCAAGCATTTTTTTTTTCAGAGGAATGTTGTTTCCCGTTGACTTTCCTTATGAAATCGGGAGGCTCATTCATGCGAAGCGAGTGCCCTAACGCACCGATGGGGCCTTGGACGGAGGCATGGCCCCACTGTACCAGCAGGACACACGCTGGGAAGGAGGCGCCTGTCTGAAAGGATCGGCCACCCAAACTCCAACCCTGCGTTGGCAGGTGGAGGCGGGCGGCAAGGTCTGCGCGGGCGACGGGGAGAGGTGACCCGAGACCCAGGCTCCTGGGGGTGGAGCCCAGGCAGCTGCAGGGGCTGTGACACCCAGACTCTTCCCTTCCGGCCCCACAGAACAGCTGCCACCTGGCCCTCCCGCCTCTCCGCCTCCACTCGGCCCTTCCCCTCGGACATCACGCCCTCTCACCCTCTCAACACGCGCGCACACACACACCTGGGTAATCCTCCTTGTCCTCCCGGAGTCAGACCAAATGCCACCTCCCCAGGATGAGCACCCCGTCCCCCCAGGGCTCCCCGCATGGGATCCCCACTGGAGTCACCACACTGCGCAGTCCCCATCGTCCTGCCAGACTGAGCTCCGTGAGGTCAGGACTAGGGACTCGGTGGGAGGGGTGGGGGTGCTGCAGAGGGAGGGCAGCGGGTCTTGGGGGCTAGATGAAGAATGATGAGAAAAAGGAGGGTCCCATGCTTTCCCAAGATAGGGGCCCAATGGGCTGGGGAGACACAGAAAAAATACAGCAGCTTTTGTGAGCCCTGCCATGAGCCAGCGCTCACACTTCCACATTTACGATTCCAACAGGGCTGAGATGAGTACCACCATTCCCCCCACAGTGAGGCTGCATGGCCATTCCCAGTCAGACAGCGGCCGGGACTGACTGCAAAGCCCCTTAACCATGCCTTCCCCGCGGTCCCGCCGAGGCCAGGAGAGGCAGAGGGACAGGAGGCCCCAGGGGTGGAGGTCAAGAGCACTGGCCAGGGAGTCAGGCTGGTCCTCTCCCTCTCAGACTCCTTGGAAGTCCTTTGCCCACCCTGCGTCTGCTTCCCACCTCCACGGTGAGGGGCTGTGAAGCTGCCGTGGTCTTTGCTGCTACCGCCTATTCAGCACGTCTACCGACACCTGTCTGACCCGGCACACACGCGTGAAGACCAACGCCCTGACTCCAAGAATCTAAAGATCCAGAGAGGCCCGGCCGGCGGGGCTCAGTGGTTGAGTGTCGACCTGTGAACCAGGAGGTCACGGTTCCATTCCCGGTCATGGCACAGGCCCGGGTTTCGGGCTCGATCCCCAGTAGGGGGCGTGCAGGAGGCAGCCAATCAATGATTCTCTCTCATCAATGATGTTTCTCTCCCTCTCCCTTCCACTCTGAAATCAATAAAAAAATATTTAAAAAATAAAGAATAAAGATCCAGAGAGAATGACAAGGGTTGAGGGAGCAGCACAGATGACAGCTAATCCAGCCTCCTTTCTGGGGGGGTGGAGGGGGGGCTGAAAGCAGGGAAGAGGGAAGAGGAGGGGGCCCAGGAGCTGGAGTTCAGCTGGGCCAATGTCTAGGGAACGGTACGGGAGGGTGGGAGCCCTGAGGGGCTGTCCTTCCCAGAAAAGAACAAGATCTTGAATAACAGACCCAAAAGCTTTGGAGGACTGGGGGGGGGGGGGGGGGGGGGGGGGGGGGAGCAAGTGGAGATCTAATTAAGCACCACCTGGAATTCCCTGGTGCAAAATAGACCCTTTGAGTACCTACCACGTGCCAGGCCCTGGAGAAACGGTGCTGACCACAGCAGACAGGCTCCCGACCCTCATGGCATGTGTACCTGGAGGGAGGAAGACAAGGACACAAGTTAACGGGACCAGAGACACGGAGGGGTGGAGGGTGCCGTGAGCTGTGACAGACACCTGTAGCTACGACCACCTCCTTTCTAACTAGGCAAGCGGAGCCTGGACTTCCTGCACATACTTCAACCAAGAGGACACACTGCAACACAGAAGGGAGTGGGCCTGGGAACCCGGCGTCTATGGAGACAGGCGCTAAAGGGATGTGCCTGGGTGGGGCCTCGGAGTCTGAAGGAGGAGCGGGCAGCAGGGCAAGCATGCGGGCCATGGAAAGGGGCCAGGTGGTGAGCTCGGAGCCGGCCAGGAGGTCAGCTGGCTGGACAGCAGAGGGTGAAGGCAAGTGCCATCCATGCCAGGGGCGCTGGACACAGGCAGCGCGGTGGCCTTCTGCGAGGACTAGGGAGTCTGGAGATCTCCCTGGCAGGTGGTACCCACCGGGGACGGGCACCCACTGGGAATGGGCACCCACAGGAGATGGGCACCCCGCCCTGGGGAACGCACCCAGGAGTAGTGCCCCACGGGCCTCCGGTACCGGAAGGCCGCTGGAGACGCCGAATCGGGGAAAACCAACGCCCGCCAAGATCTCAGCAAAAGACCAGACCGCGCTCCCCTAAAGCTGGGGACTGCAGAGGGACTCGGGGTCAAGGGGCAGAGGGCGGAGGGTGAGGCCCCCCCCCCCCCCCCCCCCCCCGGAGCCAAGGATACCCAGGCAACCAGCAGCCCGGGCCGAACCAAGTGTCACGGCGGAGGGGCGACATGCAACTGACGCGGGCACAGCCCTACGCCCCGCCCGGCCGCCGCGCCCCGCAGGCACCGGGCCCCCGCGGAGAGACATGCCGAGCATCCCCAAGCCCAAGCCCTAGACCCCCGGCCCGCTCGGCGGCCCAGCAGGTCGAGACCGTGTCCAGCCTCCCCCGCAGCGCCAGCCAACATGGTTCCGACTGTCGCTGCCGCGTTACCTAGGAGACCGGTCCGCTGCGCCCACGCCCACCCTGGAATGACGAGGCCCACGCTCTCGAGGAAGAGATCCACTACGGACGCAGAGGCCCCGCCGCCAGCCGGTGCCGGCGGAGCCGCGGGCCTCGGGGGCCAAGAACCGGCCGAAGGACGCCCGGGCCGCTGCCACCGCGGGAGGAGCCTCGCGCCCTGGCCGAGAACCCGCCCCGTGTCACCGTCATCGGCCAATCAGAGCGCAAGTCGAGAGGCTCCGCTCCGCCAGCCCCAGCCAATCGGTGCGGTGGCGGGTCCGTCCTGATTTGCATGCTTGGCTCTTCCTCAGCCAATGGGAATGTGACTGGCGTGAATTCCAGCCAATGATGAGCTGTCAGAGGCGTGGCCCCGGGTGTCCCACGAGGTGAAGATGCTGCGGGCGGAACCTGGCCGGGAGAGCGGGATTCGGGGGCGCTAAAGTCGCCGGGCGGGGCGGGAAGGAAGATCCGGAGCGGGCACAGGATCCGGAGTTGGAGCCCCCAGGTGAGTGCAGGGGGCGACCCCGGCGGGACGCGCTGTCCACGGCCGCGCACCGGGAGAGCAGCGGCGGCCCCCGCGAGGCCTGCGGTGATTCTCCATCTCCTCTTCCCTCGCGCGTCCCCGCGCCCGCCTCCACCCTCACCTCCTCTCCAGCCGGCTGGCTCTCTCTCTCCATCTTCCCTCTGCCCCATCATCTCCCTTCCCCCATCCAGTCCTCCCTGGCCCGCCCTGTCTGCCGTCCCGCCCGACCTTTCAGCTCCCGTGCCCGACCCCGGCCCCAAACTTCATCCTCCCCCTGGTCCTGGCGCCCATCTGCCCTATCTCGGTCCCCTTCACTCTTCACAGCCTCACCCCCATCGAGCCCCCCTTCCCATCCCCTCCCCAGGCCTCTGCGCGGCCCCGTCGGAGCGCCCCCGGTGCCAGTCCCCCCATCCCTCCAACCCTTTTGCTCCTGAAGGCTCACCCTGCCGCTCCCTCCTGGTCCCATATCCCCATCCTCCCACCCGTTCTGCTCCCAGGCTCTCCCGCGGGCGCTCTCCCCTCCTTGCCCCACTCCCAGGACCTTGGCACTTTCCTCCTGCACCCCCCACCCCCTCCCTGTGCCCCTGGGGCATCTTCAGGTTCGTTTCTCTGCCCACCTCCCTACCTGCTGCCGCTCCGGAAGGGCGCGTGGACCCAGGGACTGCACCGCTGCTGCGTACTGCGGTAGCGGCCGTGTGCCTGCCCACCTCTCCGCCTCCCACCCAGGCGCACCCAGCGCCGCTCCTGACTTTTGTACTCGGAGCTCCTGTGGGGGCTCCACTTTGCCTGGAGCATCCTGGGAGGGGGGCTCTAGTCCCTTAGCACCCTTTCCTGCCGTCCTCCCTGGCCACCATCTCCCTCCCCACCCCCACTTTCCTGCTCAGCCTCACTTTGTGATTCAGCATTTTCGGGGTGGCAACTTTCTTTGCTTCCTGGCATGATGGGGACCGGGCTGTGGGGCTGAGGGCAGGGGGTCTGGTCCTGCGGGGTCGTGGGGCCACCTTAGGGAACAGACCTGCACTGCCCGGTGCAGGGCAGGGACCAGCTCCTGGGGCTGGCTCTTCCGCCCGTTCATCTGTTGCCCTGTGTTGAACCACATCCTGGGGGAGATGACATAAGTAATAGCTCTTGGGGGAAACGGGCTATTAGGCTTTATGGAAATTAATACATCACATCCCAGGATCAGGAACACCGAGTTCTGGCCACAGCTCTCCCGCTATCTGTCATGTCAGGATTTCTTTCTCTGCAACTTCTCCTCCCCCTCACAAACCGCCAGCCCCCTCCAATGCCAGGAGCCAGCGCCCCCTCTGCTAGGGAAGTCGGGCTGAGGCCCATGTTGCAGGGTTTGGGGACCTGGGTGGGGAGAGTCCCATCCGCCTTCCTGATTGTCCCCCGGAAAATGCATCCACCTGCAGGGCCCAGGCTGGTGGCAGTTCCTGGGCTCTGCCCCTGTGCCCTCGAGGTGGGGGGCCCAGAGGGCATTGGCTCCCCGGGTCATGTCCATAGAGACTGCGGATGCTCTCCAGATCCACCCCCGCCCCCCCGCCTCGATGGCACTGAGGGTGTCTGGGCTAGAGCACATTCCCGCCTCCGCAGCAGCTGCTGGGGGCTTCCTATAGGACACCCAGGTCCAGGCCTGTGTCTCTCTGCTCTGCCAGTCCACAGACCTGTGGGCACTGCCCGGCACCTGGGAACTGAGCCAGGCCTGGAGGGGTTGGGCATGAAAAGTGTGGAACCTGGCCTCACGCTCAACGCCCTTCTGAGTTGGGGTGTGGAGCTGGGTGGGGAGAAGCTGGCACGCATGGGATTGAACACTGGAGGGGGCACGGTGGGACACAGGTCTTGCCTGGTGAGGGTCAGAGGGCAGTGAGCTCTGGGCAGGGCAGCCCGAGAGGCCTCAGACCCTGCGGCTTTCTGTCTCTCCTTTCAAGGACCTTCTAGCCCAAACGACTGAGGAGGAAGTGAGAGGCACGAGTCTTGATTTGCCGTTTCCGGGAGGGGCCGGGAGGGGGGCCTCCTCTAGCTGGAGCAGGAAGGCCTCCGCTCTGTCAGAGCCCAGGCAACGGGCTCATGTGCGCGGGACTGACAGCAGGCAGCGTGTCCTTATCCTTGACTAAATTCGCAGTGACCTTCACGGAGCCAGAGCAGTTTTCTGGGGTCCCTGAATAATGGGTCAGAGCGGGGTCAACTTCAGGTATATTTGGGGAGGACCGTCTCTGAGGGTGTCCAGGGCCCGGGACCCCACACCACTCTCCACCCCCCTTCCTGCCCAGCAGCTGGGGCTATTCACAGAGCTGCCAGCTTCCCAGCCACCTGCCCCCTCAGAGGAGTCAGCAGAAGCCCAGAGTCAGTGACTCCCTTAAGTTCAGCTGTGGCCTGAACTGGGTGTTCCCCATCCTCCTCAGATGTGATGTGTTAATTTGCATAAATGCTGATGGCCATTTCCCCCAAGAGCTATCCTTATGTCATCTCCCCGTTCATTCAGCGGCAGGGACGGGCCAGGTTAGGCCCCTCCCCTCCTGCCAGTTGGAGCCAGGTCACTTCTTTGGCTCTGCCCCTTGGAGGAAGCCAGCCCCTTGGACGTGCAGACCTCGGCCACCCTCCGGGAAGGCCACTTTGGAGGTGTTGACGGCAGGTGTGGAGGAAGCCAGCACCCTGGGGTGTGTCCGAGTCACTGGGGGGGCTGCTGGGAGCAGAGAATCCTTGTGACACCATCCTGCTGGCCTGGCAGGTCCCCAGAATGAGGACACTGTGGTGTCCTCAGATGTCAGAGAGATGGCAGGGCCCGGCCACTGGGCGGGATGACGGGGAGGAGAGATTGCTCTTGCCACTGACTTCACAGCGGGTCTTGTAAATAACCCTGCTGGGAAGGCTGGTTAGCCAGGAGGGGGAAACTGAGGCACCAGGCGGTGGTGAGACTGAGCCGGCCTCCTGGCTCTGGAGGAAGCCTTGGTTCTGTTCCTGCTGCGCCCCTCCTCATCAATCCTTAGCACCCCCGGACGTCAGGGTTCGATCCCAGCTCCCCGGGATGTGGAAACTGCCTTTCTCGCGAGTGGGAACCCCAGCACGCTCAGCCCCACTCACTATGTGCCCCCCTTTCTTGGGGTGACTCTGAGGAGGCGTGGTCCTTGGCTCAGCCAGTTCAGGGGAGAAGAATGGCGCAGGGGCTCCCTGAGAGCACACCTGGGCCAGGGGCGGATGTCACCCACGTTCATCCGTTCACCGCGTCACTGTGAGGGTAGCCCGCAGCTCTCCGTGAGGCCTGGCCTTGGCAGGTACCATCTCCCCGCCAGGTGGGCACGCGCAGGGCTGTGTCTTCTCAGTCCTTTGCCATATCCGATGGGGCTCAGCGGGCCTGCCTCCTCTCCCTGCGTGGCCCCGCACCCCAGCCTGAGGGTGCCCTGCACCGCACACCCCACTTCCCAACGCATAGCCCTGAGGGATGGGGTCTCCGGAGGCCACGCCCTGCACTGCCCAATGGCCATGTAGTTAACCCCAGAGACATCAGAGCTAACGCCTTGTGCCACGCCAGCACAGCCAGGTTCGACGAGCCTGAGAGGGGGCGGTGAAGTATAAAGCTGGGGCTGGGTGGGATGCTGCCCTCTCTGATGTAGAGACAGCACCACGGCCTGCGAGCCGAGTCTTCATTTTATAGCAGATTCCACGAGGCAAAGCAAGGGCGTGGTCACAACGTTCTCACGGGTTTCGAATCTACTCAGTTACATGCACCTGGTCAAGCTTTGTTTCCTTGCTGCACCTCCCGCAGCCCACACCACTCAGCCACGTGGGAGCACAGGTTCGGACCATAACCTGTCCAAACACTGTAGCCGCTCTCCACAACCCCTCCCCGTACCTGGCACCTGCCTGCCCCGTACCTGGCACCGGCCTCCCTCATACCTGGCACCGGCCTTGTGAGCTCCCTCCTTGCAGGCAGCCCGTCTTCTCTCTGGCTCCTGTGCTCAGCACTCGCAGAACTGAGTCCCAGTGCCGTGTGGGACGCAGATGAAACAGGGCTGGAGAAAGGGAAAGGCAGGCGCAGGGGGCCCTCGCTCGGCCTCCTGTCCACGCTGCAGACATGGTAGGCGCTCTCCCCGCCGCGATCTGGAGCCCTGGCTGCTGCACATTGAGATCCGTCACCCACTGCGAGGCGGAAGCCAGGCGCACGTCTCTCCTCAGAACCCGCCCCAACTTCCAAGACGAAGCAGCAAACCGTTCACGCCCAGGTCCGTTTCCCCAGTAAGCACGCGACATCCCCACATCCCGGGTCCCAGCGACGCAGGATCCTGCTCACAGGGCCCTCTGTCACCGTCCTGACCCCTGGTCCCGGGGGGAACCTGAGGGCCTGGCCCTCTCCCTCTCAGCCACTTGGCCGCCCTCTGCGTCTCCCCTTTTTCTGGATCAGCGAAATGGGATGCGTTGGGTGGAAGCATCAGGACAGTCCCTGGCACAGACACTCAGTAACGTCACTTCTAGTCACAGACTGAGCCCAACCATTGCCCTCCCTGGTGGCTCCCGGGACAGCTGGACAGAGGGTTGCTGTGCGCGCACAGGTTGGTGGGAAGAAAAGTGGCTTTTCGGGTTAACGGGTCCCTTCGGGCATCCGCTCGTCTGTCCCGTCGGCAGTTTCCACGGTGCGTGATTCTGTTTCCTGCCCTAAGAGGCCTTCCTGGGGACACTGTGAAGTGTGGGGTCAGGGCTCAGCCTTCCAGCTGCACCGATGGCTCGGCATCTAGTGTGACGGCAGAGAACAGGGGACACGTCGGGGCCACAGGGAGTGGGGCCCGAAACAGTCCCCAGGGTCCTGGCGCAGCTCCGCCAGCTCCTCTCTTCACCAGCCACTGGGCGAGGGGTGCCGAGGCCCCACTTTGAGAAACACTTCCCAGCTCTGTTTATGGGTGAGCTTTCCCGCTCCCTCCTTAACACAGTGCAGGAGGAAACGCCGATGGTGACAGCCCTGGCGAGGGCTTCGCCGGCATCTTCGG